CGATGGGAGCGGGGCGCCGCCGGGAAATATGCATGCCAATTGTTTGGTGCCAATAAATAAGGGGATAGTACATTGGTTCTAGAATTGCATCTGGGAACACATTTTACGGGCTATTCAAAAATACTGATTATTCGAAGAATGAGCATGATATCTCGTCGCAGATTTCATGTGTCCTACTTGTCTTTATTTAGAGGCCCATTGGGCACTGCTGGCTATACATTCTTCAATTCTGGCATACAGCTTCTATCAATTTCTTATGGACGTGCACGATAAAATGTCGATTCTAGACAAGCGTTAGATACAGCGTTCAATTCTACACAGAATGACACCAAATTCGAGGGATTATCCGCCATCACTTCATCGCACTTTTTGTGGAACAGAAGGAGTGTCGAGCCGAAGTTGCATTTTAATGCAATGGGTGCGTTCAGGGCGGCGTGCGATTAGTGCATATTTATTGCTTTTGCCAACAAGCAAGGCAATAGTAAATTCAATCTAGAATCATGTTTGGCACTAAATTTAACGGGCTATTCAATGTTACTAATCATTCGAAGAATTAAAATAACATCTCGTCGCAGATTTCAATTTCCCTACTCGTTAATACTTCCCGGCTTACCTATTCGGCATTGCTCGCCCAACAACCATAACCTTCGAGTTCTCACCAGGTTTTCATATCGATGCGCAAAATAATGTGTGGATGCTAGATAGTTGTTTAATAAAGCAATCAATTCTACACATTATGGCACTGCTGAAAAGGATGACTCTGCTATGACTTCACTGCACTATCTGTGAAATAGAAGGATGTCGTTTGGCGAGTGCCGTGGGGCCCCGTTGCGAACGATGTAGGCTAGGTATCGATTGTTTGTTGCCAATAAACAAAGGAATAATACGTTGGTTCTATAATCGTGTCCGGGAATACATTTTACGGGCTTTTTAATGATACCGGCTATTCGAGGAAGGAGAATAATAGCTCGTCGCAGATTTTATTTTTCCTACTTGTCTTTATTTGGGGGACCATGAGCACTGCTGGCCATACATAAGCTTTTATCAATCTTTATGGACGTGCACGATAAAATGTCGATTTTATACAAATATTAGATACAGAGTTCAATTCTACACAGAATGACACCAAATTCGAGCAGTAGTGGCGGAACACCTTCAATTAACGGGGGGGGGGGGGCACTGCCGACTTTTGGTTCCATTCTTTCCATGCAACGCCCATAACGCTAATGTCAAAATGCCAAAATCAAAGGGGGACACGGTGCCCCGGTGCTCTCCCCGTTCCGCCGCCTATGAATTCGAGGGATTATCCGCTATCACTACATCGCACTTTTTGTGGAACAGAAGGAGTGTCGAGCCGACGTTGCATTTTAATGCAATGGGTGCGTCCAGGGCGGCGTGCGATGTGTGCAGATTTATTGCTTTTGCCAACAAGCAAGGCAAAAGTAAATTCAATCTAGAAGCACATATGGTTCCAAATTTAACGGGCTTTTCAATGCTACCAGTTATTTGAAGAATTAAAATAACATCTTGTCGCAGATTTCAATTTCCTTTCCCGTTAATGTTTCCCGGCTTATTTGGCATTGCTGGCCTGGCAACAATAATCTTCGAGTTCGCACCAAGTTTTCATATTAGTGCGCTCAATGAAATGTCGATTCTAGATGGCTTTTCAATAAAGTGCTCAATTCTACACAACATGGCACTACCGAAAAGGATAAATCGGCTATCACTTCTCCGCACTATTTGTGCAACAAAAGGATGTTGCATATTTTGCGATGGGAGCGGGGCGTCGCCGGGAACGATGCATGCTAATTGATTGTTTGTTACCAATAAATAAGGGAATAGTACATTGGTTCTAGAATCGCAACTGGGAACACATTTTAGGGGCTATTCAATGATAGGATATTCAATATTCAATATTCAATTGCCTACTGATTATTCGAAGAATGAGCATGATATCTCGTCGCAGATTTCATGTGTCCTACTTGTCTTTACGTAGAGGCCCATTGGGCACTGCTGGCTCAACACTCTTCAATTCTGGCATACAGCTTCTATCAATTTCTTATGGACGTGCACGATAAAATGTCGATTCTAGACAAGCATTAGATACAGCGTTCAATTCTACACAGAATGACACCAAATTCGAGGGATTATCCGCCATCACTTCATCGCACTTTTTGTGGAACAGAAGGAGTGTCGAGCCGACGTTGCATTTTAATGCAATGGGTGCGTCCAGGGCGGCGTGCGATGTGTGCATATTTATTGCTTTTGCCAACAAGCAAGGCAAAAGTAAATTGAATCTAGAATCATGTTTAGTACTAAATTTAACGGGCTATTCAATGCTACCAATTATTCGAAGAATTAAAATAACATCTCGTCGCAGATTTCAATTTGCTTATTCGTTAATATTTCCCAGGTTACCCATTCGGCATTGCTGGCCTGACAACAATAGTCGTACCAAGTTTTCATATCGATGCGGAAAATGAAATGTCGATTCTAGATGGCTGTGCAATAAAGCATTCAATTCTACACAGTATGGCACTATTGAAAAGGATAAATCGGCTATCACTTCACCGCACTATTTGCGGAACAAAAGGATGTTATATAGTTTCGCGAGGGGAGTGGGGCCCGCCACGAACGATGTATGCCGTTCGATTGTTTGCTGCTAATAAACAAGGGAAAAGTATCCTGGTTCTACATATGGAATCACTTCCTAGAATATGCTCTACGGGCTATCAAATGATATTAGTTATTCGAAGAACAAAAATGATATACCGTTGAAGATTTTATTTTCCCTACATCATACCTAGCGGAATTCGAACGCACATAGAGCATTACTTGACAGACCTGCAAATACAAAGCCTGGTCAACAAAGCACCATGAATCTCCAAATAAAGACAAAAAGAAAATGAAGCCTGCACGACCAGATACCATTCTCATTCTTGTAATAATTAGCATCATTGAATAGCTAGCAAAATTTATTCCAGGACACGATTCTACGTACCAATTATTGTTATGTTTGTTGGCAAGAAACATCAGTCGGCATATATTCGCACGCGGGACCCGCCAGGCTCCCGTCACGAAAATATGCGACATCTTTTTGTTTCACAGAAGTGCGGAGGAGTTCCATCATATTTTTCCTTTTTAATAACATTATACTGCGTAGAAATTAGTGCTTTATCGACCAGCTGTCTAGAATCGACATTTTATTTTGCACGTCAATAGGAAAACTTGATACTGAAACTCAAAGTTTATTGTTGTCACGCCCAGCAATGCCGAATGAGCCGCGAACTATGAACAAGAAAGTTGAAGGCTGCAACAAAACAGCGTTCTTGTTCTTTGAATAATAAATAGCATTAGATAGTTCAACAAATTTAGAATCATACATGATTCTAGATTCAATTTATCTACACGCCGCTCTGATAGGCTCCCATTGCGTTAATATGCAATGACGGCCCTTCTGTTCCACGAAACGTGCGATTAAACTATGTGGGATTATCCCTTATTTTTAGTGTCATTTTGTGCAGAATTGAACGCTTTATCAAAAGCTTGTCAAAAATCGACATTTTATCGTGCATGTCGATAACAAAATGAATAGAAACGTAGGCCTGGCTAGCGATGCTACATGGACCTCCAAGTAAAGATAGTAGGGAAAATGAAATCTGCGACGAGGTATCCTCAATCCTCATTCTCCGAATAATTATTATCATTGAATAGCCCGTAAAATATTTTCCCGGATGTGATCTTAAAACCAATATATTCTTCCGTTGGTTGTTGGCAAAAAATAATCAATCATGGGGTTCAAGTCGTTCTGCGTTCACGGCCACGCCCCGCTCTCATCGGGGAAATATGCAGCATGACTTTGTTCCACAATTAGCGCCGTGAAGTGATAGCAGATTTCCCCTTTTAATAGCGCCATACTGTGAAGAATTGAACACTTTAGGTATCGGACACCTTTCTTGATCTAGAATCGGTCGATTGCATTGTGCGTGTCAACATGAAACTTGACATAGGTAACTCGAAGTTTATTGTTATCAGGCCCAGCAATGCAGAATGAGCCGTGAACACTGAACTATGAACGAGTAAGGAAATTGAAATCTGTGACGAGATGTTATTTTGATGTTTCGAATACCTAATAAGTAGGTGCCAGTGAATGGTCCGTTACATTTAGTACCGGACACGATTCCAGATTCAAATTAATATTGCTCTGCTTCTTGGCAAAAGCAATAAGTCTGCACACATCATAGGCCACAGTGTACGTTCCCATTGCTATAACCACGGAGACTATGCTATAGCATGCAATGTCGGCTGGACATTCTTTCTGTTACACAAAAAATGCGATGAAGTGATGGCGGATAATCTCTTGAATTTAGTGTCATTCTGTGTAAAATTAAACGCTGTATCGAATGCTAGTCTAGAATCATATGTCAATGATGTCCGTCTATGCAAAATTGCACTGCAAACTTGAATCTTCTCGTGGGACCGGCCGCCGGCGGGCCGAGCGTCACGTGACCCCAATCTCAGGAGCCGGTCAAGGTCACATGGCCTGAGTACAGTTAGTAGTTCCCAGATTCGCCGCCAGAGTAGCGCCACTTGCAACGGAATAAAAGAACGCTACATTGCGCGGTAGACTTTTAAAATGAACTTGAATATTTCTTCTTTGCCGACAGAACCCCAATGTCCCCGCTTGTATTGTTCTTGGACCCTAACGGGATTTTTGAAAAACGCAAAAGGACTTCATTCCAGTCACAGACTGAGACACTCGCTTCAGGAAGTCTTACTACAAACAACTAACATTTTACGATCCTTCTCACCTTCAGGTACAGTGCACCTCCCGTTTTATGTAGAACTGATTTTACGGACCAGACATTTTCAGCGTTTCGGCTTGCGCAAGTGGGCGCACACCTGACACCTGTGCATACGCCCGTGTCTGCGGCCTTCCATTGACCGGCCGGGACGGTGTGTCCGACTTTCCTTTCTGACACAGGGCCCCCTCCCCCCAGACGAGCGCGGCACCAGCCCACCGCCGGACGCCGTCAGCGCCCTGTGGCCCACCCAGCCGGCGTCCGCTGGGGCGGCGGTGTCGCCCTCTTTCGCAACGCTGGTCAGCCGCCACCTGAGCACCGCCAGGGGACGCGGCTTCGACGACAACGTCGGCAAACACCTGGCCGCGCCCAACTTCGACGTGCGTACCGGGCCAGTTGGGGAATTAGTCACTGACATATTGTAAAGGATTGTCGAGCTCGAGGCTTACCTTTAGCTCACAAGCGATTTTTCAGCGTTATCTTTGCAGTGACGCGATGGATCGCGTAGTGCCGTCCCACTCACCGCTGTTTTGAGCTCCAGGGGAGGGCCAGGTGATCTGATCGGTGACCCTGCTTCCCTGCCGCAGCTGCCGCCGGCCAACCTGTGGTTCGCCGCCTGCAGCAAGCTCTACGACGAGCTGGTGGCCACGCCGGCCGGCTCGGCCTTCAGCAAGGTGCGTGCAGAAGTCGACTTCACCGCGTGGCGCGTGCAGATGTGACTCGTCAGGCACACGTGACTTTCGCACATCACGTTACAGTTGATGCAATATGTGCGCAGAGGTGTAGCATAATGTCGTGTCTCTGACGACTGACATTCCATTTATTTTTCATAGCTCATCCTTAGCTATGCGGATTTTTGGTCTCAGTAATGTTCCAACTAAATTCCAACTGAAAGTCTTCTTTTCTATTGAATCACCTGATCTCAGTCCTGGCCTGAGCTCAACTCTGAGCTGACTCCAGGTCTGCTGCCATCTAACCCGTCCTCCTCAGTCACCTGCCCTGTCATCCTGAGCGCTGACCTTCCCTGCTCCTTTGACTGTGCTCTGTTCTGACCGTTCCCCGTGCCGTGACCGTCTGTCCTCCCCTTGCCGTTAGCCGCTGGCCAGCCTGCGCTCGGCGCTCGACTCGGACACGCGTTTCTCGGAGGCGCGCTGTGCCAAGGTGCTACCGATGGCCGTCTCCGCCTACCAGGAGGGGCTGCCAGCCCGATACTCGCTCGACTTCCACAACAGAAAGGTGGGTCCACCGCCAACGCGGTACCTACAGAACGGCTTGCAGAGGGCAGAAGGGACGCAGCTTAGTGTTTGCCGGTATATAATTGCATAAGCTTATAATTTGCTATTGCGTGGCTTTTATGCCATGTCTTCAGTCATGCTGGTGCGTTTTCCTGCATTTTATATCCACATTTCAAGCTCCACTAGGCTCCACCTATATGAGTATTTGTAGTGCGTGAGATGCCATAGTTGATCCCCGGTGCATTGCTATCCTTTGACATAACATGTGGATGTAGCTGCATCATTGATGAGATCAGGCGCGTATTGCTAACATTTTTGCCTCGTGCATGACGGAAATCGTAGACGATGCGATGGAAGTTCCGCACCGTTTACCGGACTTGGCGCAATATTTGAACAAATAACGTACGCCGCTCGAGCGAACATTCGTTATAACACCGTAATGCCGAGCTACTGTAAAGAATCACATGTAACGTTGCATGGGCATTGATAAGGGTGTGTGCTGGCTGGAAGGCTAGCGGGAGCATATCTATGTTTATCATAGCGGCTGCCTACCAAAGATCAATATCGACAATAGCTTGTTCCACTCGCGGCCGTTCCGCTCCATAGCGGACGGTACCACTTCCCGCCCGTCGTGGCTGCCCCCCTCCCCTCCGCCCTCCGTATCCGTCCTATTGACCGCGCGCCCACAGAGCGGAGCCGGGCCGGGGAACGATGGCAATCATATGAGGACAATGTCAGATCGGGCCCACTGGCAGACTGCGCGCTCCTGGAGGCCGTCGATGTTGTAGGATCCGGTTCGGTCTGGTCTGTAATGAAACCAGGACCGGCTATGGGCCGGTTAGGGTGTTTCGACCGATACGTCGACTCCATTTGTTGATCAGGTGTTTCCACCAGCACGGCGCGTTGCTCAGGTATGACCGGCCTTTGGTAACGTAGTCTCGATGCGGGCAAAGCGGCGGTATGCGCCGTCGGCAACGGCGAGCGCCGCCGTGTATTATATCATTATGGATCAATGCTCGCTTTTTATATGCTGAAACTGAAAGCATTGTTTATACAGTGGTCGTTTTTTTTTGCTGATGGTTTGCGTTGACCATTTGCTCGTGAATTCTGAAAAGGACGATTCATATGTCTTGAGGCTCGATAAGGCGCATGCAAATCGTCGTGCCAAGACTACGCGCATCCTCGTGCACATCATCTCGGTGTTTTCGGCCTTTGCTGAAAAAGCAGCGTACGATACAAAATCGGTTTATTGGCACAACACAGAAAATCGATGCCGATATCACGTCAACCACAACACAAACACAACAGCAGGCCGGATAGGCACGCCATGGACGGATAGTAAGTGGTGAAATAAGTGTGACTTGAGACGCACCCAGCGACCAATGCCGATGTCATTTCTGTTGGATATATCGACATTGCAGTTCCGGGGACTGGAATGGTCAGTAATTGTCTGCTCATTCGATACATCCTAAACGGTACAATATAGGAGCGCCACCCCCCTTGGAATGCAATGAGAGGTGCGAATGACATGAACACTAACTTCGTGTCAATGTTTGGTGCATAGACAATTTAGAGCCTAAAACTCGACATCGAACACGCTTCAAACTACGCATCTATGATCTATCAATGGAAACATCTCATTATAAAGCTCGGCTCTGGACCCGCTTAAAACGTTAACCGTTGACTTGCATGGGCTCGCTCCCCACCCAATCGACTGGTCTGCCATTGTGGCAGGAGTCGATAATCTGGCTGCGGGTAATTAGTTACAGTCGGGATCGTCAAATGTAGTCGGCTGCCAACGAGTCTAGCAGCGTGCTTCGCCTCACACCCCCTGTTCTGCGCTCTGCCACCCTCCGATAGGGCCGACGTGGTGCAGGGTCGGCGGCGAGCCGAGCACGCGGCCTATCTCGCGTCACCGCTCGCCGGGACGATAGCACGCGGGGTCGTGACTCGACGGAATCGTCATCGGCCAGACACGTCACCGTGCGTGGATGTATGATCGTGATTCTGGTGACAGACTCGAGATCCGGTCATCAAGAGCAGGACACCGCTGAATCGTTAACGAATTATTGGCAGGTCACAAATGGACCACCGACAGGTCTTCAATAGGCCACCGTCACAGCCATGTGACTCACAGGTTATCTGCTTGAGTGCTCGTGAGTCTGGAGTTTTTCCATTTACGAGCTGAAGGTGCCTGTCATGCTTCCGTAGTTCCATACCGCTTAGTCATGGTACTGGGAGCAGATTGGGACTCCGAGTCACCTGCGTTCTCCAGCTTGAATTACCATTTTCAAATCTGCTGAATAATGGATGCGATGGCTAGAGTTACCTAAGGAACGGTGTATGGTATTCATGCAAACCGAACCATCTATTGCAAGCGAAAAACAAAACAAAACAAAACAAAACAAACTCCATCAGCTCGCTGCTGGGCGTCCGGCCTCACGAGTTGACGGCGATGGCGACCGCCTTCCTGCCGTAGCGGTCGTCCTCCAGCTGCTCCACCATGAAGCGGGCGACGTTGGCGCGCGGGATGTAGGAGGCCACGCCGGCGCCGCCGATGGCCATCGCTGCCTCGCGCTGCACCAGCGTCTGGTCGCGGGCGGCGCGGCTGTTGAGTCCGCCCGGCCGCACCACCGTCCAGTCCAGGTCGCCGGCCTCAGACTCCAGGTACTGCTCCATCTCCCGCATGTTGGTCAGCAGGTGCTTCAGGAACTTGACGAACAGGTTGAGGAAGAAGCCGTGCCCCTGCGCGGCGGTGACGTCCGTATAGAATGCTGTCAGCACCACCAGTCTCTTCACGCTGCTGGCTCGCATCGCCGTGACAGCTGCCTTCATCGACTCGGTGTAGCCGGTCACTGGCGAGTTACGGCTGAACCCCAGCGCGGACACCACCGCGTCATGCCCCCTGAACGCCTCCGTCAGCTCCTCCGCCGAGAAGATGCTGGCCTTGACGACGCTGAGGTTGTCGTGCTTCTGCTTCAGCTTGTCAGGGTTTCTGGCGATGGCAGTGACGCTGTGACCCCTCTTTAGGGCCTCGGCGATAACCAGCTGTCCGGTGCGGCCCGTGGCGCCCAGTACGCCAACCTTCATGGTCGCGGCTCGTAAGGTGTCAGTGACTCGTCACGGTGACAGCAGAGGGATGCCTGTAACACCAACCAACTGCCTCCTTGAGTGACCCTCCCTGGCGCTCGTCGCTGTCCACAACACTGTCCGCCTCACAGGGTATTGTGGAGGAACGATCGATCACAGTGACGCTCGACTGCGGCCTGCTCTGTCCACTTGGAGAGGTTACTGTATGTGGTCCAGTCACGGGCACCTCACTGTCCCGCAGCCGCCCGTCCACCGCTCCGTCCACCGCTCTCCGTCCACCACTGAGGGTCGGCGCCGGTAGCAGGGGCGCAGAGAGACGTCTCGGGCCGCTCACACCAGCGCCATCCAGCGGCCGCATAAATCGCCGATTCGTTTGAGCTGCAGGCTATGCAGCTAATTGCTAGTTGTGGGAAAACTGGAACGGAACATTTGATGGAATTTACCTGACAAAATCTATTTGACGTCTTTTATTAGTTTTCAACATTTTTGAATGTGATCTTTAAAACTTGCATCTCCAATGTCGCTCGTCAGCTGACGTAAGCCTGGAGCTGCGCCCTGTGCCCGCCAGATGTCAGTATTGGCAATGGGCGGAGCGTATCCCGTCGGCTGCCATTGTTGACGGAGGGCGGTCGGCGGTGTGGTAACGGCGGCTCCGCCCCGGAGGTGACCTGTGACGCTAGCTGCTGAGCTGAGCTGCTGAGCTGCACCGCAGCGACGAGAGGGCTGTGACCGGCTGTACCGAGGGTTCTGCTACCATGAAGCTCGCCGTGCTGGGAGCCACCGGCCAGACGGGCCAGCACCTCGTCTCACTGGCGCTGGGGCAGGGCCACAGTGTCACCGCCGTAGTCCGCAACCCCGACAAGCTGCAGCAGAAGCACGACAACCTCAGCGTCGTCAAGGCCAGCATCTTCTCGGCGGAGGAGCTGACGGAGGCGTTCAGGGGGCACGACGCGGTCCTCTCGGCGCTGGGCTTCTCTCGCTCGGATAACCCAGTGACCGGCTACACCGAGTCGATGAAGGCTGCCGTGGCGGCCATGCGAGCCAGCGGCGTCAAAAGACTGGTGGTGATGACATCCTTCTACACAGACATCGTGTCGGGCGGCAACGGCGGCTTCCTCGTCAACTGGATCCTGATCCCGCTCATCAAGCGGGTGCTGATGAACATGCGGGAGATGGAGCAGTACCTGGAGTCTGAGGCCGGTGACCTGGACTGGACGGTGGTGCGGCCGGGCGGCCTGTCCAACCGCACCCTGCTCGACCAGACGCCGGTCCAGGAGGAGGGCGGCATGTTCGTGTCGGAGCCGGGCGTCGCCATGTCGATCCCGCGCGCCAACGTGGCCAACTTCATGCTGTCGCAGCTGCAGGACAGCCCGTACGTACGGAAGACTGTGGCCATCGCCATGAAATCATGAGCGGTCGTGTGGGATGTGTTCACAGCGGACGGTAGTGGTGCTGCGTAATACCCTGGGACGTTACGTAATCCCTCCCTGGAGTACCGCCAAGGTGAAACTGGCCGCAGAGCGGCGGGGCTGTTTGCTCTCTGCGAGCTGGACAAACACACGGACATGGGCCGCCGATAGACGAGCGCCCAAGGAGCGGCGGGCGTGTTATCGGTGGGTGGGTGTGCTATCGGAGTGCGTGAACGTTGTAACGCGCACCTATGGCGTGACGATAGGCCGCCACGGTGCGTCCTGCTGCGCTCTGGTGCATATCTCTGCACTGCCGCTCTAAAGGCTGCTGCGAATAGGTTCATATTCCTGCACCACCACACTGTTATGGCTTCTGAGGATTGGAATGGTCGGCCGCTGGGCGCCAGGCTGCTGGTTGTCTCGACAGCTGAAACCATTCGTCACCACCATCGCCGCTTGTCACGAACTAACTTAATCTGTCGTCAGTCGTGACAACCCTTCGTGACGGGTGTTCCACTCTCTCCCTCGCCCTCATCACTACAATATTCTGTTCTGTTACGTCACATTCGTACGTCCAATACTACTATCCTGTCCTCTCCTTTCCCTTCTCCCATTCCCTGGATCTATGTCTTTTCTTTGTCTCTTCCTAACTTGCCACTTCCCGGCTCCTTTTTACGTTTCCCTGCCCTCATTCCCCCGTCTCTCTAAACATGCCGGTTGCCGAGGTTTTTGCTCGCTAGTTTGCTTGTTCTCGAGGCCAGCCGGCCTGCTAACCATCTGCCAGGCCGCAGTAGGTAGCAGTCAGTCTGATGCCTTTATTGCTGTCTCGGAACTGATGCTTCGAACTCTGACAGCTGTCGTGCTCGTGTTTTCGAGATGAAAATGTGGATGTTATGTCGATATGTTACAGGCCGTATGAAAACTCAGTCCGTTTGCAAACGGCCTGGCCCGATTCAGGCCGTTTGCAAACGGCCTGGACAGCCCAGTCAGTATGCAAACGGACTGAAAAGTCAGACCGTTTGAATACGGGCTGAAATTCCAGGCTGTATGCAAACCGCCTGAAATTTCAGGCCGTTTGCAAACCGTCTAGGCCGTTTGACAACTTTCCAGACACCAGGCCGTTTGCAAACGGTCTAGGCATTTTGAAAACAATCTGGTTTGCATAAAGTTACAACTGGACAATGTTGAGTTTGTTGAAGCACGACCGTTTCATGACATTACATGGTACCATGAAATCCTGAGGTGCATTCGGCATCCGGAAAAATATTGTCACTCGGATATTCTCCGTCGGAAAATTATTGTTGAGCGCCTATCTTCAGCATGTCTCGTTATCGCGATGCCGTTCGTGATCTCCGATGATTCTCGCTAGTTCCGGAAAATTCTCCCTGATTTTCCCGATGACGAATGCAGGCCTGGTCAGGAAGAGATTAGCAGAACTGAGACCCGGCCCGTATAGCGCCCGGTCGACCCGGGCTTCCTCCGGACTTCAAAGGTTCCGGTTCGCCTTCCACCGCAATGGTCAAGTATTGCCGGCGTATACGCCACCGGCCAGCCGCCGGCGCAGCGGTCGACCGGGCGCGGTGAGGACTCTAATGTGAACCAGTGGCGCGGGAACTTCTTCCAGACTGGGGGGGGGGGGGGACTGAACCATTATAGAGATCAACCTAGGGTACCCCCAAATCTAGTTTTCTCACCGGTTTTAGGCCACTTATTTTTCAGACCTTGGCCAATAAAAAAGCGAAAATATTTGCAAAAAAGTCAGGTATTCCGTCTCAGCTGAGTGAAGAAACTACCGTTTTGGCAACCTGGAATAAAGGTTTTAATCTGCCAAATGAGTTGCCGAGCCAGTGAAAGAGGTGGATTTTTCACTTACATGCTTTCTTCCTTTGTGACCCACAACCCCTAATTTGGGGAGGACAAGCTGCCCCAACGGTTCCTGACCTCATGAAAAGTTGTGGGGCACCGCCCCCACGGCCCCAGAGCTGTGGGAGCAAGCTTCCCGCACTGCCCCCTCCCCCGGTTCCCGCGCCTTTGTATGAATCTATGAAATTATGTTGGTAGATTTCCGAGTTCGATTCCTCCAGCTGGGGGGGGGGGGGGCTCAAATACATTACGAGCCCCCCCCCCCCAGCCGAAAAGTTGGAAGGGCTCAGCCCCCGCTAGCCCCCCCCCCCGGTTCCTGCGCCACTGATGTGAACTCTGATGTCCATTGCGCGCTCCGGCGTTTTATGCCGCAAAATAATCAGTGAGTCTTGTAGTGATACGTTTCACCAGACCTCACCAGTAGTGGCTTCACCAGGCTCCATCAACTGGATGGCCGTACGTACACAGGCAAACCGTGAACTTGTATAATGCATTATTTGGATGCAATGGATGCAACCTGATCATCGACCAACCTGGATCCATTAAGTTCAATCTTCAGAGGTTGTTGTTACTTCGCCAGACCGTTTGAAAACTGACTAGGCCGTTTTCAAACTGTCTAGGCCGTTTCAAACTGCCTAGGCCGTTTTCATACGGCCTGATATTTCAGGCGGTTTGCAAACGGCCGGCTTTTTCAGGCCGTTTTCAAACGGCCTGACTGGGCCAGGCCGTTTGCAAACGGACTGGGTTTTCATACGGTCTGTAACAGATATATATGATGACGCAAAGGCTGTAAACAGATACCACAAATATATGCATTGGTTCAAGCATTTGCGCACTTGTTTGGCAAGGCCCTGCTGTTGCTAGCTTGTCGCAATCCGATCGTGGAATCGTGTGTGGGACAAGAATAAACCAGCTGCATTGTTACGGAGCGAGCGAAGCGAGCGGAGTCTCATACTGAATTAAGGGAAAATCCTGAGTATGAGCGGCCGGCCGGCCGGCCGGCCGGCCGTGGGGACGCTCTTCAAAAGCTAATATCTTAGGAACGGGACATCCGATTGACAAGCGGTCTTCTTTACTGAATGTCACTTGGACGTAAAAGTTATGTGGTGTGATGGCCACCATGCGTTCTTGCCAACCACCGCACGTGGCGCGTGGTAAAGTTGGACATTTTTTAAGAACCCCCAAAATTGCAACCTCAATAACGGAACAACGGTTGGGCCGATTGAATTGAAACTCGGTACACAGTTAGGTCTCCATCAGATAATTCATCTGCATGTGTTAAGGTTGGGGTGCTACAGCACGTGCGCACGTGCAGGGGGCGCTCCCAGATCTCGAGAACGGCTGGGCCGATTGCGCTCAAATTTGGTACACGGTTGGGGACCAGTTAGTAGGGTGCCGTGCAAAAGTCAGTTTGGACCCCGCTTGCACGTGCGCACGTGCAGTGTGCCGCTTCCAGATCTCGAGAACGGCTAGGCCGATTGCGCTGAAATTTGGCACATCGCTAAAGACCGGTTAGTAGGGTGCAGTGCACAAGTTAGTTGGAGGTACCCCCTCCCAATTTCGCTCGTGCAAGGCTCATCCTCTCGCTCGCTCCGTTGGTCGCCCAAAAGGCGTTTTACTGGTTATTGCCACATTGGAAACATCTACATTGCATCCTCCTACTAGGTTAATAAAGTAAACATGGCAGATTAATATTTCAAATAAATTTGTGACCTTTGTCATGCAGACTGCACTGTGCAGCATGGCGGCTGCGTCAACATAGGTAGTCGTCTCATGGCCGAGTCACCATATCAGGCCCAATGAGACCCCAGTCAACAAACCCCCGCTGACAAAGAGCGATTGGTGCTTTGTCCCCATTACCGTCTCTGTGCCGACCCAGAGCCGTACCTCGCACTGACCCAGTTCCGTCTCCGTACCATACTGTACCGGTACTGTGACCAGTACTAACCCAGCCCCGTGTCCTGTACTGACCCAGCCCCGTGACCTGTACTAACCCAGCCCCGTGTCCTGCCCGTGTCCTGTACTAACCCAGCCCCGTGACCTGTGCTGACCCAATACCGTGACCTGTACTAACCCAGCCCCGTGTCCTGTACTAACCCAGCCCCGTGTCCTGTACTGACCCAGCCCCGTGTCCTGTACTAACCCAGCCCCGTTTCCTGTACTGACCCAGCCCCGTGTCCTGTACTAACCCAGCCCCGTGTCCTGTACTAACCCAGTCCCGTGTCCCGTACTGACCCAGCCCCGTTTCCTGTACTGACCCAGCCCCGTGTCCTGTACTGACCCAGCCCCGTGTCCTGTACTAACCCAGTCCCGTCTCTGTACTAACCCAGCCCCGTGTCCTGTACTGACCCAGCCCCGTGACCTGTACTGACCCAGCCCCGTGTCCGTACAGAACCAATACCGTGACCTGTACTGACCCAGTCCCGTGTCCGTACTGACCCAATACCGTGACCAGTACTGATCCAATACCGTGACCAGTGCTGACCCAATACCGTGACCAGTACTGACCCAATACCGTGACCAGTACTGACCCAATACCGTGACCAGTACTGACCCAATACCGTGACCAGTACTGACCCCGCCCCGTGTCCTGTACTGACCCAATACCGTGACCTGTACTGACCCAGCCCCGTCTCCGCACTGGCCCAGCCCCGTGTCCGTACTGACCCAATACCGTGACCTATACTGACCCAGCCCCGTCTCCGCACTGACGCAGCCCCGTCTCCGCACTGACCGCTTCCCTCTACCCTCAGCTGCTGAGCGCCATGGCGGTGTTCCGGTTGCACGCGCGCGGCCCGTGCTGCGGCCAGTACCTGGCGCGCCTGGAGGAGGAGTGTGGCCGGCTGTGGCGGCAGGGCCGGCAGATCTGCGAGGCGCTCAGTCTCACCGGTAACCCGTGCATTAATCCGGTGCACCGGCTGCCCGGTCAGCCGGAGGACGAGGACGATCTGGAGCACAGGTGGGCCGCTGACACTGACACATCCGACACTGACACATACTGACACTGACTGCCCGGCCAGCCGGAGGACGAGGACGACCTCGAGCACGGGTGAGACACTGACACTGACACATCCGACACTGATACATACTGACACCGGCTGCCCGGCCAGCCTGAGGACGAGGACGACCTCGAGCACAGGTGGGACACTGACACTGAGATGGTACTGACGCTGAGACTGACACTGACACACACTGACAACGACACCGAGACTGACACCAACCAGACAATGAAACTAGCAAATGCCTTTAAGGCACCGATACTGACCTGACACACTACACTCACCTGTATAATTGTGTGTTGTCAGTTTCATATGTGAGGTAGCGACATGACACGGCGTAATTAAAGACGAAAGTGTATGCAATATACAACGACCTCAGTTACGTCCATAGGCGGCGGAACGGGGGGGGGGGCACCGTGCTCCCCTTTATTTTGCCATTTTAGCTATCCCTATGGGCGTTGCATGGAAAGAATGAGACCCAAAGTCGGCAGTGCCCCCCCCCCCCTTAATTGAAGGTGTTCCGCCGCTACTGGTTGTGTCTACGCTGGTGTAGGCTGCGGTCTAGTCTACGACCTCAATTTTTATCCCGAGAGACGACTAAATATGCCTGATGTGACCGTCTTGTGTGTGCTGTCTGCTCCACCACCGGCATTACCGCGTGCTATTTCTCCCGCCTCAGACGTCCGGAGATGGACCACTGCTCGGGCGTGCGGTACTTGTCCACGTGCAACTGCGGCCGGCGGCAGCGGCAGCGCGACGACCCCTTCACGGTCAGTGCTCCTGAACGACACCCCCGGGACGGCAAAAGGGAGGGTTGGGACGACCCCTTCACGGTCAGTGACCTTAGTTTCCTCACCCATCACGCTGCGCGTAGCCAGGTGGGGAAGGGAAGGGTGGAACGACTGTTCACGGCCAGCTTCCGGCCTTACACTCGCGGTGCTATGCTAACCGAGTGTTGATAAAAATGAGGGCCAACAGCTTAAGGTATTGTCAAAACTTGCCTTGTTCGTCGACGTACTGAATGTTTTACCCATTTGCTAGTTTCCGTGTGTTTAACACGCTTGTAAAAACTCTGAATTCATGCTCATTCTCCCGGTGATCGCCCACCCCTCGCTCTCCTGCTCCCCCCGCCCGCTCACCACCCGCCCCCGTGCCCTGCCGACAGGTGCGTCGAGCCAACTACGAGTTTTACGCGGCGCTGGCCGAGTCGTGCTGCGGCGGCCTGCAGCAGCACGAGTTTCCCGTGTTCCGGCCGGGCGCCAACAAAGCCAGGTGAATACTCCGATCTCCATACACACTCTCCTTTTACTGTATGCATGTCTGTCCCTTTGTGTGTGTCTGTGTGTCCGTGAGTTTTTCGTTCGTCTGACGCGACCTTTTTCCACCAGGCGGCGATGGTGAACGTGACTCACTGACTTGACCTGTTTCACAGGGCGGTGGGGGCGAGTGTCACTGACGTGATCTGACCCGTGTTTCTGCAGGGCGGCGTTTGTGTAAATTTCACTGACCTGACCTGACCTGACCTGTCCCCCCAGGGCGGCGGTGGTCTCGGCGGCTGACGGCGGCTCAGAGCTCAGAGCTGGCGGAGCGGACCGCCCCTGACCTGACCTGACCTGTCCCCGCAGGGCGGCGGTGGTGTAAATTTCACTGACCTGACCTGTCCCCGCAGAGCTGCGGTGGTCTCGGCGGCTGACGGCGGCTCGGAGGTGACGGAGCGGACCGTCCCTGACCTGACCTGACCTGACCGTATCTCCACAGAGCTGCGGTGGTCTCGGCGGCTGACGGCGGCTCGGAGGTGGCGGAGCGGACCGCCCCCGACCCGGACAATGCCACCATCTCTCCCACCTTCGGACTCGGACTCAGTACGTAGTCGGGGCGATACCCTGGGTAGGGACAGTTGCGAGGGCGCCACGAACAGTCACAGAATAGAACGCTCCCAGATGCAATCATTATTAGTAAACATATTTTCATTGCTTGCTTGGGACGGGTTGATGAGTCACAGAACTTCTCAAAGGAAATGCGTTTTGTATGAGATGCAGCGTTTTTGGCGGCACTCGTGTAGTGCAGCGTTCGGTGAATGTTATGTCTGACAGCTGTGACGGTTGGCTCTCGGACCACTCTGCCTCCACTACCTATCCACTGTCACAGACCTACCGTGTGCCGGAGCAGCCTGACCTACCCCGTGGCCCGCTGCCGCCCGATGACCGGTGTCTGTCCGTTCCAGGTCAGGGCGAGGCGGACGAGGCGGAGAGGAGCGGCGGTCCCACCAGCAGTCCCTCCGACATCTCCGTCACCGTCAAACAGGGTGAGCCAGGGAGACGTGGTAAGCCGGGGGGGGGGGGGGGGGAGCTGGTCATCAGGGGTGATCGGGAGACGCGTTACCAGGGAGGCCGGCGAGCCGTCACCCAGCAGGGCGGACCATAGCATGGGAGGACCTGGACTGAGTCCAAGCCGTGATCAACGCTTCCTAATGCTAACAGTCATGCTTCGTCAGGTATTCTTTCATAGCAGAAGTAATCGTATGGACACACGTCCTGCAGGTAACATTTGCTCACTGAACGAATTTCTTATCCATATGCCTTTTTGCATTACATTGCTTTCCGTCGCTCTCTGTAACGGCCATCCCGTCTCCCTGTCATCCCCAGAGAGCCGTCGCGCGCCGGAGGTGCTGCCGTCCACTGAGGAGTACCTGGACGGCATGGTGACGACGACCACGCCGCGGCACCTGCTGCCCGAGTACCCCAGCTTCAGCCTGGTCTGCCTGGGACAGTCGTCTCTGTACTCACACGCCGCCGGACTGCAGGGATTTCTGCAGGTGAGCGTTGGACGGGGTGGTTAAGGCTGAAGAGGGGGTGGGAGAGGGTGAAATATGACGGTGGGGGTGGCCGGTGGATAGGGTGGGACTTGGGTAGATTTTCTGAACTTGCACAAAGATGAGACATGCGAGAGATGTATGTAGGATATGACAATGATAACCAGTTTTATGTCATTTGGACATGGTCCCCTACTTTGTTACGTTGGCTCCCCTTCCGTAAAATTTCCTAATAATATTTGGCTTCGTAGATTGAGTGTGATCTCAAACAGGCTTCTGTTGTCCACAGGGCTCCAACTACCTGCTGCCGTGGGAGCTTAGGATGAAGACAGAGAAGCTGGACACCAGAAAAGGATACATCAAGAAAAAAGGTATGTTGCGGTACCGCCAGAACAACCATTTCAAATGTCTAAACCGGCATACGGTCTACAAAACTTGTGTCTGATGGCAGCCACAAAATACGTCAGTTACAGCGGAACCTTTATAAAGCTGATGTATCCTGCAGTTCGTCGTTGATTGAATATCATTTAGCTCATGCGCCGCGTGCCCTTACCTTTCATGCCCCCCTCCCCCATAGTCTCACTTGCACTCCGCCCCCGCCCCTCCCCCTGCTACTGCCAGAGACCTACGACATCTACGCCAAGATATTCATCGGTTTCGAGTACGAGTGTCCGCGCGGCCACCGGTTCATGCTGTCGGCTCCGGACCGCGTGATGAAGGTGGCGGCGGCGGCGCAGGTGAAGGACAGCGCCGCCACGGTGGCCACCAGCGATATGCCGCTCTACTTCAACTGCCCCTGCAGGTCAGGCCGCGGGGGCCAATGAAGACAGGGCCGGGTGGGGTGGTGGTGGGAGTTTGAGGGAGCAGTCAGCATTTGCGAAGGATAGAATGGCATGCCTTATTTCATAGGTCTTTCACGTGCTTTGCCGTTAAATCTGCAGATGTGGCCGCATTCAGCGATTCGTTTAACATATTACTTGATTTTCATTCATTTGAATGAGCGTTCAACATTCAGCGATTCCTTGTCTGCTATCCAGAATAGTTTTAAACTTGCAGATATATTTGATGTAAATGACCATGTATCTGTGTGCGATGAAATACCTTTTTTCGAATGGAATGCATACATTTACCTGAAACTCCCCAATTTTAGCCCTCCTTGCCTTTCTATGTTTTCTAACGTCCTCTCCCAGCCTCCCTGTCTGACCTCTAACCCCTTCCCTCATGCCGTCCTCAGTAAGAAGCTGAAGCCGTTCGTCAGCCAGTTGATGCGGCTGCACGTGGTGACGCCCAAGTCGGCGGTGCGGGTGACTCTGGAGCCGCGCGTGCAGCCGCAGCCGCCGGACGGCGCCGTGTTCGTGCCGGGCGGTGAGCGCGGCGCGCTGGAGCTCAGCCCTGCCGCCTACTGGCTGCTCCGGCTGCCCTACCTGTACCGGGAGTGCGGCGGCTCGACGGCGGCGCCTCCCCGACAGGAGGTGCCGCCCGTCGGCCGCGGCCGGCTCCTCAAAGACATGTTCGGAGTGGTGATACGCGATGATGTGCTGTGAGGGAGGGGCCGGGTGCTGTGGGAGGGGAGGGGAACAGCTTTGGGTATCAGGGGAGGGAGTGGAGATGTCGGTGAGTGAGAAACGCAGGCGTAAAGATCAGGGGCAATCATGGTTCTGAAGAAAATGCGGGATCTATGTCAGAGTCAAGACAGTGTCACTGAAAACGTCGTAATCGTACCTATGTGAAACAAAAATGTGAGATGCTAATACAGTTCAATCAGGCTTGCCACAAAGTGTCACGATGAGTACCGATTCCAAGTTCGCATCACGGTTCCGGATTACGATCGTTGACGATCACAGTCGCGAGGCTGGCAGTGTATCTTATGACAGTCATTCATATCGATGAATATGTTATCAGGTCATGGCGACTGACTAGTTTGGCGACCCCAGCCCGAGGAGGCTACTGCCCACTATAACCCCTTGTTCAGCGGTGCCACGGAGTCTGACGGTGTGGACGGTACCAACGGATTTCAACTGTGCCTCACAACAAATGACGAAAAGACAGCAGCTAATTATATTATGGCAACCAGTAAACGCCTTGTCCAAAGCATCAGATCGAACAAAACAAAATGACTTGGAGTATCACACATCTTGATCACAATGCGGCCAAAGACTAAACAAGCTTTGATTATCAAGATGGCATGACTAAATCGACATCGACACCACCCTTTTGTCAGCCGACTACCCAATCAAGACCCAAAACAAGCACAATAATCAATAGAACGAGTGCCTAATCATAGACATATGTAAAACAAGCATTACAAACAGGTATGGATAAGACAAAAATAATCAGGATACAGAGGCACGAGTAACGCCACCCACTCCCCCCGTGCGCCCTTGGTTGTGGTTAAATCGATAAAACCGCGCACACGAGTCGTGCAGTTTGAATACGCTGAAGACGTATGATCACTCAGGGATCTGATGGCAAAGGGATAGAGATGATCCCTAATGATTACTGATTGCTATCATCGTGAAATCGGGGAAGTGTCGTACCCAGCACACTACATAAAAGCTCAATACGACAATAATGGCGACGTTAGGAAATCGTGACGGCGGAACACTTCTAATCGGGAAGTGGAATTAGTAAAAAGAAACGTATTATTGACTTTAATATCGCTAACATTCCAACTCCCCGTGACGAACAAGCGGCACAATGGACAACACATAACAGGATGAGCTGCATGATCTGAATGGTCGGCTGCCTATGAGGTCGATTGACTAGACACCCAAAATATAACCATGGTCGTAAGACAGCTGCTTCTATCTCAACAAAAAGCTGGCTGTGCAGAAACAAGCTACCACTGTGGATTAAACTACCTTTGATAATCACTACTCACAGGATGGCAAGTGCGAGAGATAAAGATGTGCATAAGAAAAGATATGCGTAAGAAAAGATGTGCGGAAACAACATGGACCTAAAACGCAAGATGATGGTTCAGATCAGTGAGGAGAGAAAGACCAAAAGACAGACAACACGCAGTGTTACATATAACTAAATACGGCACAAGGAAAGTAAAATCGATGAAAAGTGGGTATAGTCTACACAAAACACCGGCGACACGACTCACAATCCAATTTTCTATCCTTTCCCCCACCCCGGCAGTTATTTAGTCCCCGCTCGCTCGATGCCCCGTGCGACCCAGCCGAGGTCAGGCTGATGTCCCAGGTGACCCTATTGGAGTCAGTTTGATTTCCTAGGTGACCGGGCCGTGATCACAGTTTGGACTCTGGCAGTTCGGGCAGCTGTCCGTACAGGTTGCCGCACGCGAACACGTTGTCCGGGTCCAGGTACTGTTTTGTGGCGCGCAGGACGCCCAAACCTGGCGAGGAAAGCGATGGTAATGTTACATTAGCAGTCACTGTGACAGATACAGGTTAGGAAGACCTTATTATCTAGTTTTGCCGAGATTGAATACCATCACAAAATCACTATCAGCATACTCAGTTGCCCATTTACCTTACATGAATTCATAAGTTTCTGTGGATCTGTGAGATTGTGTTCGGCAGGTTGAGGTAATTATAACACACCTTCCCCCGCTCCCCTCTCCCAGTCACAGTCTGCCAGGCGCCCGCAGTCATCAGTCGCGGATAGGCAGGATGTGAGTGGAAGGGGCAGAGGGCAGAGGACAGAGCGAAGGGCAGAGGACACAGGGACGAGGCTCAGAGAGCGGACCCACCTGGCGCGCTGACCGTCTGCCGCATCCAGCGCTGTCGGATCTTGCCCACGCCGTGGTGGTGCGAAATGGAGCCGCCGCACCGGATAATCTCGTCACGCGCCGCCGCCTAACGGCAGGTCACGGCAGAGGTCAACAGAGCGCGGGCTGGGACGTTGGGCGACGGTAAAACCCCCCTCCACCGCCGAGCTGTCCCGCGGCACATCTATCCTCTCTGACACACGGTATACTGACAGACACCCTGACCTCATGGTGACCATGTACCCTCGCCCTGACCTCTGACCTCTGACCCACCTCCACGTCCTCGTACACCTGCACCGGGTCGGCCACGTTCTTGTAGCAGAAGGCGAAGTAGAAGTAGACGACGGCGCCGGCGTCGTACGTCTGCGTCACACGGCACGTGATGAACACGTCCGAGACGCCGCGGTCTGCCGAGGGACGGAGACGGCAGCGTCACAGCGGTGGAACGACACAACTCTGAGAAGATAGTCTGTTCTGGTGTCGGTCGTACGGAGGCATTAGACATATGAATTTCCCCGGCGACTTCCAGGAACGAGTTTCCTAGGCTGAGAGGATTATTGATATCAAATGGAAGGCGGCAGTTAACGCACGCACATGACACCCTTCGATTTCAATCCATTGATTATTCACATTCATTCCAACTTATCCAGTAAATATCGCAATGCTGAAATGGTAGAACTCTCGATCCAAAAATAGAGAGCAGCTAGCCACTACCAAGCACCTCCCAGCCGAGTCGCTCAGTTAGTCCCCAGAGGTCCCGCCGGCCTACTCGGTACTCACCGGAGCACTCCTGTCGCACCCGGCGCTTGACGCTGTCACACACCGTCAGACAGCGGTCCCACGGCATGGAGGTCTCGAACGACTCGGAGAGCATCTGGAACTCGAACCCGAGGTCCTGCCGGCGGCGAGGGACAAAGCGTCAGCCGCCGGAACACATCAGCCAATACCCGTCTGACATCGAAACCGTCACCAGCGGTGGAGCGTCGGAGAGAGGCTGACATAAAGTGAAGTAGTTAAAAAAATCATATAATACAAGACTTTTGTGTTCAACAGAGCATGTATGACTCGTTATGCGAATTACATACCACATAACAGTAAACTCATAACCAAAAAATGTATTTCATGGAATGCGTAACATTCCATTTTTTTCTTTTTTCCCTCAAGTGAATCCCGATGTGCCTACAGCTGAGCATTTGCAAAAGCACATATAACAGGTTCTAGGCTCTGCAGGTACTCGGAGGGTTCTGAACGAGAGCTCGGCGAAGTGGCGCCTACCCTGATGTAGGCGATGACGAACGTCAGCATGTAGCCGCGCTTGCCGTTCTCCTCGCCGATTGAGAAGCCGCCGTGAGCCGTGGCCAGCTGCAGCAGCCGGGCCTCGTGCGCGGACACCTCCTCCTCCGTACCTGGACGGAGGGAGGATCACAGCTGATAACAAATAGTTTAAACAGGCGTCCATACGCAACGAAAACACCTTAAAAATGTAGTGCAGAACAAACAGTAAAGCTACCTCTATCTGTAAGTCCAATAGACGTACTAACTATGTAACACTTCATGGTAATAGGGAGCCACACCAAGCACCAACCGAGACTAAATCGCCTTACCTTCGAACATCAGTGTGACGATGCAGACCTTGTTGAGGTCGAACCCCTTCCAGCGGGTGATGTAGGCCTTCTGCAGACCGGTCTTGATCCAGCCGAACGACCCCGACGGCGTCTTCAGAGCCTGACCTGTCGCACGGAGACGGGACTGGTCAGAGACGGCCGTGTGCAGCTGTCGAACTTTAGTCGTGGTCTTGAACTTGGTCGTGTGTGTCTCAACATAACCCAAAACCCAAATAAACCCAAATAAAATCGGTTCGGTTAGGCAGCTGAGCGTCATGCCCATTTAGACATATAACCCTCTGTCCCTCATCTTTACTGACAAATTTGTCCAGCCATTTTACAAATAACATTAATTCTTCGAGTAAGGCAGTCACCTTTAAAGCCAGTCACTGACCGAATTTGAACTGTTCGTTGTCCATGAGCCGGACGCTGGCCGGCTGCCGGCGCTGGGCGGCCACCTCACGCATGAAGCGCACTCCACTGACGAAATCGGGGAACATGAGGCCGCCGTGCCGCCTCACCGGCGGCACCGGCCGAATCTTGACCGTCACCTCAGTGATGATACCCAGCGTGCCTGCAGACGGGGAGCAGCACTGTCAGCGACACGGAGACTGTTAACTTGTTCATGAGATGATCACCATATCAAAGAACATATCCGTAAGTCTGCACCGGGAACTACAGATACATCAAAATCGACTTCCTAACTAATCAGCACAGGTCATCACATACACCAATCACCACCAGCCTCACTGACCCTCTGATCCGAGCACCAATTGGTGCAGGTCGGGCCCGGCCGAGATGCGCGGCGCCTCATTGCCCCGTTCCAGGACGCCGCGCGGCGTCACCAGCCGCACGTGCACCAGCAGGTCCTCCATGTTGCCGTACGTGTTCTTCTTCATACCGGAGGCACGCGTCGCCACCCAGCCGCCCAGACTGGCGGACAGAGATAGGCGGTCGTAATTAGATAGGGCACGCACTAAGGCAGCGAGCTAAGTTCATAGCAGTAGAAGTACCGATACAATATCTGCTAGCAATCCGATATTACACTGCGAGAACATATTTTAAGCGTTATAAATGTGGTATTAGCGTCACGAATTCACCACCACAAACTGTAAAAGGGATCAGCATTCAACACAGCACAAGCATGACGAGAGACGACGCTATTTGAACACCTATCCCACGTCTTGCGCCTGACAGCCTAAATATGCTACAGAGAAGCGCCGGTGACCATCTCCTGTGACCACCACCACCCACGTCCCGCCCACGCACCTGGAGAACTCGTACGAGTCGGGCTCGTGGCCGCAGGTGTAGCCCTGCGCCTGCAGTACGCGCTCCAGGTCCTGGCCGATGATGCCGGCCTCGCAGCGGGCCGTCAGGTTGGCCGCGCTGATGGAGAGCACGCGCGCCATCTGCGAGGTGTCCACAGAGGCGACGGTGCGCCGCTCGGCGTCGGGCCGCAGCAGCGCGCCCGTCACCGATGTGCCGCCGCCGTAGGGGATCAGCGCCACGCCGTGCTCGGCGGCCAGCCGCACCAGCCGCTCCACGTCCGAGTGGCACTCTGTGCCAGAGCGGCGGCAGGAGACGGAACGGTGATTTTAATCGTATTGTAAGCACGTCGTCGAAAACAATACGAATGACAACCGTTGCATTGCAACCGAGACAAAATATTAGGCACATATTTTGCGAAAACAGTGCATCGGAAGCTTTTTTTTCTGCAATAACATAAGGTCATTCAAAGCTAAATACGAAAACATTGTTCCATATTCCAACAGAACGCTGAGCAGGGCACGCAGCGAGCTCGGTCCTACCGACCTGGCCAGACGACGAGGTCGACGAGCGGCGGCAGCTCTCCGCGGCGCAGCGCGAATATCTCGTGCATGGTGTGGCCGTGGGAGCGCCAGAGCCGGTCATCGCCGGCCACCGAGTGGCTCAGGCCGGCCTCCGTCAGCGCGGCCAGGAACTCTGACAACAGACGGAAGCGTCACCAGTCGTCAGAGATAGTGGATCTACAGCGTCGGACAGACGATACCTACGCGTTACTACAATATCAAACGGAGCAACAGTGAGCCTAAACACCGCCACCGTATACAAGGGGAAATGTTGGCCGTCACTGAGGACAGCCGTTTGTACTGAGCCGCGCTAAGCACCGTGAGTACTGAGAAGCTCGCACGTTGGGCGGCGAGTAGTCGTGCTGAACACCCACCTGGCTGGACGTTGGGCGGCGGGTAGTCGCGCTCAGCTGGCTCCGGCACCGCTTCCTCCAGTCGCGAGGTGTCGATGCCCAGCTCTGTCTGCACCCACTGGCGGAACAGAGGCAGCTCCTCGCCGCCGCCGATCGGGTACCTGACGCGGCGGGAACACAGGACTTTGAGGAGACTCAGCAGAGCTGTGTCGGATAATTTATCATTTCGGCAACACAAACGAAACATGTTCCGTTGTGTATGCTTTTAAGTTGGCTAAGGACAATATTTTGTCTGTAACTCGACACACTATTACGAAGAGAAGAATTACCTGTTGCCCAGAAAACCAAATTCGCCATTGCTTTTCTTCACAAACTTGGAGTCTTTGTAGCCCCATCCGTTCCATTTCAAAAGCTCCTGCCTGAAAGAAGGAAACTTGATCATTAAAAAATAATTGAACTTGATGATTCGTGTTCAATGCCGATAAATGTATGGAAAAAGACCTAAGGTGGCACTGTATGTACGACCGATTTCGGCCATTGTTATCATATGTCGAAAACGGAATAAAACACACACAAAATTAAAAGACGATACACAACGTTTAGTATCAGTTGCTTTGTTAATGTCTTCGAAGCAAAGCGACATATCAACAGTGACTGTGTGTATGATCATTTATTACGAGGTAAGTCGAACAATTATGACATTAAATCTGACCTACTCTGTAGCCACCAGTAGGCAGTAACTGTTATATGGATGTAGCCGTATGAGATGGCACCATTTACTATGTCTCATGATGTGCATTGTGCACGAAGCTGCAGATCAGTCTCTTGAAAGTACCGCGCATCGGTGCGGTGGATCGATCAAGCCCAGCAGAAGTAAGGGTGCTAAAATTGATAATCACCGAATCAACTGAGTCCCAATTGAGTTTCCCACGTCAATTGATCGGGTGACTCAACTTTAGCAGCCTTCCTTCAGTTGGACTTGATGGATACGACGCACCCACGCGCACTACTTTCAAGAGAGACCGTACAATATGAGCGAAACGGAATCGAGGGTCACAAATGTTTACCTGCGCTTTGGAAGAAAGCTTTTGTTTTTAGGCACCGACATCTGCTCCATCCTGAAACAAACGTAGCAGTCAGGATTTGATCAGAATCTCGTGGAAAGCGAGCTGACTGTAAATGAATTATTTCCATGACAGTAGTCCGCATCAATGATCGAATCGAATGATGGCTCCGAGAGCAGAAGCGGACAAAGTTGTTTTGAGTGTGGTTGAGATGAGATTCGAAAACAGTCGGCGAACCGAAACGGCCATGCCATAAACCGATACAATTTACGGCAGTTACAGCCCACAAACACAACAAAGAAATCCCCAGTCGTTAATCAATTATTCAGTTGTGACAGTTGGAGTGTTTTGCACTGTGTCATACGGGGGATTAAATCCGCTTAGACGAGCTGATCCAGCAGGCGGTCGCCGGCCGGACTTTACACGGTGCTGGCCGGATCCGGTCCGTCAACCGGAGTTGACCGTCCCTGCCACAGGACATTCCTTAGCCGCGCCTCCGTGGTTGAGTCGGAAATGACTCGGAACATTACACGGTAAGCAAATGAACCAATGGCGGCAAACATAGGTAGCTATGACAAACCAAGGACAGTCGCCAACTCAAAGAAACTTAAATAAATCTTACAGCACAGGCTGATTAGTACCGGCAAAGATTCGGACAACGTAAATTTTAACAACAGTTTTATTGTGCCGTCGGGTTGATGGGAGGTATCAAAAACAATTTTTGCATTGCCACTAAAAATTAAAAAAATTAAGTTGAAATAGACGTAGGATAATGAACGCATCGTACCTAAGAAGATGCAGATGAGCTTTATATAAAAAACGTTGAATTATCTTCCAGGGCTTGACACCGGATCACGACCACCAAGCGGCAAGCACAATGCACTATTCACCGACGCCACCAGCAGCCGCAGCCCGCTCCCACGTCCGCCACCGTCCGGTCACGCCCCGCGCGACTGACTGGCACCGCCGGCGCCCCGCCGACCCGCCGTGGCCTGATGCCGGTCCGATTCGCCACGTGTGCCCCCCTCCCGCCTCCCCTCCCACCATTCGTCGGCTGACGGCGGCGCGATAAACTGAGTCACAGCCGGCTGGACCACGGTGTGCACGGTGTAAACGTCGGAGGGAGCCGGGCACAGGACGAGACCGAGGGTATCGGCACTGTGCACACGGGGACGGCGAACATACACCGACGCAGTACACACGGTCACCAGGATCGGCAACACACCAGCACGGTGCACACAGCCAGCCGAGTCGCAACATACCAACAGGATGCGCACAGTCGCAGTAGAGCTGCTGGTAATACACTAGCCATACAGCAGCTCACAGCAAAGCCAACGAAACACTAAGGCGCTGTATATCAACACACCGGTGCAGTACATCGGACCAAAATCGGCATCAGACAGGGATGATGGATCCGCTTCCGTAAGGTATAGCAGCATGAGTTAGGGGAGGGGCAAAAGGTGCCCCTCTCCCTAAAGAAAAACGTTCACACCTTTGAAGGCCAATATTTTGGGTTCTCATAAATGTATCAAAACGTCACGAAATTCGGAGACTAATTAAGGTACAGTCCTCAGCAGACTGCATGGAAGGTATTCTTTTTTCGACAAAACCGATAATAACTCAAAGGCTGTTATCAGTCGGTCGGAACTCACTGCAAATAGTTGCGCCATGCTCCACTCCTCCGATTGGGTATATCCATTGGGAGCGAGTGACCCCAGTGGATCGCGCTCATCTGCCGGTGCACCGAAACGGCGTCCTCTCGGTCCTCTCCGGGGATAGGGAGCGGCGGTGTGCTCCCGAGGAGTGGCTTGAATAGTGACTTGTCGCGCCCACGGCACCGTAGTCATCGCACCATTGATGCGAGGCCGCACAATGAACCGCCCTGGTCAGCGAGTGGGCGTTTGAGGGCAGGACGGCCGCTTGTTTCGCCAGGTCATCTGCGCTCTCATTCCCCTTGATACCGCAGTAGGCAGGAACCCACTGCAGTACCTATTACTTAGCGACGCTGGGCAATGTTCAACAAGGTCTTCCATTCCAGGCGGCCGCTACTCCGCTGAGTACTCACTCAGGGCGGCTCGCCAGTTCGAGCACGCGACGACCGGGGCGGGGACGTCTCGTCCCGAAACCTCTCTGGAGCCGCCCGCAGGGCGAATCTGCTGCTAGATTGACGAGCGTGCCGACTAAATTCTGTGACATCTTTCGCCAAAAAAATAAAAAATAAAATAAAATAAAATGCAGCGGCCCTGCTCCAAAAAATTCAGCTGCCGCCATGCGTTGACCCTCGCATGTGTAGGGGGGGGGGGGGGGGTCGGATGGACGCCCCCATGGTTTTTCGCGAATAACTCGCGTAAAAAGCAACCGATCGCGACGAAACTTTCAGTTCCCTCGCATTGGTCAATTTTACACCTACCCTGAAAATTTCATGACCCTGACCCAAATGACCTTTGACCTGTGACCTGTTTTCCGAGACCATGTTTGGCCGGAATCGAGAATCCGCGTATGTCGGCTCGCATTAGCCGCGCGTTTGCGAGCTTTTCGTGGTTTCAAACGTTCAAACATGTGATTTGATGTTGCTCCCATGCATTAGCGTGGGTGTCAAGGTCACCTGAAGGTCAGGTCAGGTCATTGACCTTTGGTGACCTCGGTTCACTTTTTCGAGTTTTACATGTTTCTAGGCTAGTTTTTGGAGCTGAATTCGAATTTAGCAACCATTTGAACATTTACGAAGTAGTTTTGGTGACTTCGTAACATGTTACGAAGCTGTCAGAGGCGGTTGACACGTACTACGAATATCCGTCACGACGCCTACTGGTTGACCTGACCTGACCTGACCCGACCTGGTCTAAATGCTTAAAGACATCATCTGCGATCAAAACTAACACGATATTCGTGATCAGCGTCCCGAAAAACCCCTTAGAAGCCACACTTTACGACTTTCTAACAGGTCCCGATTTTCCCGTCAACCAATGACCTAGGACCTTAAACTTGGGTATCATCGGCTTCCTCTCGTCACGGGCAACACGCTCGTTTTTTCCGCGAAGCTCTAGCTCCATCAGGGGCCAAACGGCAAGGGGGTCCAACCGACCCCCCCCCCCACACACACACATTAGATGCTGGCAGACGCCGCACACATGCGAGGGTTGAATTCCGCGCATGCGAAGTTACGCCAGACGTGCGCTGAAGTTTTCGGCGCAATTCTGCCATTAAGAGCTTCACACTTGGAACGTAAACGCGAAGGGCACATACAGGGTGCGCAAAAAGTTCTGGCCCTCTTACAGTAAGCGCTCCTACGCGTGCTGCGGTTGCTTTTCGAGAAGCCAATAGCCGCACGCAATATCTTCAATGATCCTGCTACACAGCCAGATGTCGAACAAAGCAGACCATTAACGGCGGCCAGTCATGGAGGCAGGCTAAACGTCACATTGTCATTGGACACCTGCGCGCGGCGCGGCCGAATCGGGCATGACTGTTGAGCAGGTTCAAGGTTGCGATGAAATTTGGAGCCCCCTGCGAACAATTACCCGTATCAAAGCCTAATACCAATTAGGGAGATCCTGGAATATGCCCCCAGGCCAGACCGGTCACGTACAGTCAAAACTCTGAGAATGTGACTGCCTTGTCTCAGGCCATCCAGGACAGCCCACGACTCGGGCGGCAAAAAGTGCCCAACCGTCTTCACTAACGCCAATTAGAAGATAAATGGGACGATGTATCAGCGTCTGCTTGACAGTGACCGTGACGTCATCCCATGGATCCTGAAGACGTATCCAAAAGTCTATTTCGTTTTCCAGCAGGATACTACACCCGCAAACAATGCAAGTTCCATCCAGCACAAAGCTTGGGGGAAGAGGCCCATTGTTGGCTTAATGACATATTGCCCCCTCAGTCACCCGACCTGAACCCCTTGACTAAAGCATCTAAAGCATTTTGCAGGATGAGGTCCAGGGAGTGTCCCATCCCAATTTGGAGGACCTGAAGGCACACATCATGAAGACGTGGGAGATGAAGGACCCCACCTACATCAAGACATGCAAGTCTTTCCGCCTACGTGTGAAGGTCATTGCCGATAAGGGGGTTATATCGCGCATGAGGTGAGTGAACATATCTGGTTTGATAATGCAAACCAATATTTGGTGTTAGCGTTGATAATATTCACTCCGTCGATTGCATTCGTTTATTGAAGTATAGAAATGGGCCAGCACTTTTTGCGCACCCTGTAAGTGGATAGGGCTTTGCCGTTATGCTCTGTGTGTGAAGCAGTCTCTAGGCAAAAATCCAGCAGGCGCCTATTTTTCTGTTGGTAAAGCTGGCCTCCGAACCCGAACCAAAAATCAGTTAATATCTTCAAATAATTACACTTACTTCGCTGTCAGATGGTATTGGTGTTTCAGCTCAGGATGGTGTTCCTAGGTGGCCTGACTATGTTTCAAATCTCAGCTACCTTTTATCGCACGCCTGCGCACGCCAACCCTTATACTCTTGCGTACTTTTTAATAAATACAAATACGAATAAATATATTTTTGATGTTGTTGTTGTTGTTGAAGAGTTAGGGCGCGCAATATATATATATATATTTTTTTTTGATCGGCTCGCAGGTTCGACTAGTAATTGACCCATTCGCGCAATTTTCATCTTAGTTGTCGGCTGCCATATTACAGGGAAACTTATCTTTACGTTTTCAACTTTGCTAGGTATTTTTTCTTATACTTTTTATATTTTTACATGCCATTTTTCCGAAAAAAAAACTCAAGTGTCACTTTCAGTGCTTTTCTCATCACCCTTTACATCATTTCCAAGGGAAACAAAAGTACCATGTCGTGACGTCATTTATCCATGTTTATATTCAATCCGACGTTTATGGGTTTTAAAACACACGACCTTGAATTAAGAATTAACGTTGTTTGCTTGGTAGGGTGTGAGGGCTATTATTACAGTTTTTTCATCGTCGTTTTGCCGGCTGTGTCATGATCAATTGAAACAAAGTCAAGAAACTCCCTTTGGAGAATTTCCCAGCTGTCACATCGATGCATATTATGCGAAATGATTCGATTTCGATGTTCTGTTTCACCCACTTGGCGCACATATTTCGTTTCTGGCGCGCCTGATCTCCAGCCGGTTGTCATTGCATTGAGCATCGGTCCTCTATATACCGTGCATCGGTCGTCTGGGTCGTCCCGCGCAGGAGCCCGCTGGTGCAGCATATTATCTAGTCAATTGTGTTCCAAGGGTGGGGAATGCTCTGTTGTAGGGGTAAGAATACTCCTGTTTTAGAAATATTATCTGAACGGTTGCAAGGGTGTGTGTGACGTAGGTGCCCCTCTAAGCAGTGCTCCTTGAGAATGACACCACAGACCAACCGGCAACCAACCAACCTTTTCAGTGCCTCGTTTACCTGTGATGATTTGAATTAAAGTAAGTATTCCAGAAGTAGATGACGGCACAGTCCTCCTGGGTGTACCTTTGCCCTCTCACAACTTGCCATCTTCCAGTGCCATATATTAACATGTGTTGAATGACATGGAGCTCTCTGCATGCTAACTTGCTGCCACTGAGCTAGGACATGAGCAGCTCTTATCAACTAGGTCACAGGGAGGACAAATTTTTGCCTTTACACTCAGCCATTGCGGCTCATTTCATGGGCAAGGCACATGGTCTTGTTTTTGCATGGCTGCTTGAAAGAGAGCAAGAGCTCCATTTAGCGCTTGGTCCACTCCAGAAACCTACTTATTGCAATTATGGTGAATTCCGTACATGCTGATAGGTATCTGTATTCTGTTGTACCACCAATTGGAATGAAAAGGAGGACGAGGGACTGAGGTAGCCAGTGTTCAGCTCACATCTAGTCAAATCCAGTGCGACTCAAATTGTATCCAAAATTGGCGCCTTTTTGCCGACCACACTTAAACAGGTTTGAACATTCATTTATTCACATACACTGCTCTGTTTCTCTGAAACTTTTAACTGCCTACAGCCTATTTCCATTCCTCATTTTAGGAAACAGTTACCTATTATAATTAGACCATAAAGAGCAGCACTATCTCCTGTTAACATTTTTTTAAATGTGCACTAATTTTACCAGTGTTACCACATTTCTTTTCAGGAACTGAGAAGCCTTGCCTATCTGTATCAGCAGCAGGGAGGATGTTGATATCTTATATTCACTGGAAGAATGCTTCTTTGCTGTGCACATGATTTTTGTGAACAATGTGAGGGAAGTGAAGAATATCTGCACCTCAAGTGAATCAAAACATAACCCATGAAATGTCTCAGTGGGACAGTTATGCTTGCATGCTGGTCAGTAAAAGTTTTAGTTGAGTAGTTAAGATCAGCAACGGGCATCAGGCTTAGAGACACCTCTTCATCTTCTAGAGAGGTGTTGACAAGATGGAGGCTTCCAAGAATGCAGGATCCAGATTGTTTGTGACAAATGTGGTAGAATGCAAGGATGAGTCAGATGAGGTAAGTCTGCTCTGCAATGGGTTGATATTTTGTTCTAGAATACATTACTGATTATTTTATTATTTTTAATGAAATTATTTTGACTGCTTAGTATTGTCGAGTATTCATCCAACCCTTTCCACACACTGCTAGGGGGAGGGGTGTTGGGGAATCCCCTCGCCATTTTGACCCTAATCGAGCTAAAGCCTCTCGGAAAAACGAGCGGGGGCGGGGGTGCCGTTGCAAGACGCACTGCCACTGACTATAGGTACTATAGTATCCTATTTCAACTCATTCAAAGTTTCAGGTCAGCTAGTGACCAGCTTTGAGGTCAAGTGTCCCAAGGAAGGAACTCGGTTTTTGGTGAATAAGTTAACTTCGCCAAAAGCCAAAAGTGGTCGTAGAGCCGCGGTCCTAACACCGTCATATTTTTCACGATCGGGCGCTACGAATTAAATGCTTGGGAAAGGTCAACTTGGGTGTTGACCTCAGGTCAAGGTTAACTCACGGCCTCTCGGGTCAGGAAGTTGGTTGTTGTTGTTGTTGTTCTTTCCCCTGGGGCATCCTTATGGAGGACCATAGCCGAGAGGTTCCCTATGGCGAAGGTAGCCGGCCTCCAAGGCAGCCACCACAAGGCAGCCAACACGTGCTCCGGCACGTTCGCGTATTCCCGGCATACGGCGCTCTGCGCCGTTGGGGCACCGCTTATCGGGGCACTGCAGGCATGCCACGGAGGGGTGGCGGCCGATCCGGTGCAGATATTGGAGCGAGCGGCCCCAGTGGCCCGCCCTCAACTGCTGCACCGAGATGGCGGCCTCTCGGTCCTCTCCGGGGATGGGGAGCGGCAGAATGCTCCCGAAGATAGTCTTAAAAAAGGAGTCGGGCCAGTTTTCGCGCCAATGACGTGTGGCCGTCCGATAAACTGCCCTTGTCAGGGACCGAGCGTCCGAGGGCACGGCGTCCTGGGGCAGGGTAGCCGCTTGCTTGGCCAGGGCGTCAGCGCGCTCATTCTCCGCCAGCCCGCAGTGGGCAGGGACCCACTGCAGAGTCACCTGCCGGCGCTCGGCGATGTCCAACAGCTTCCTCCAGATCGCCGCGCCTATAGTGGTGTCTGGGCGGCCGCTCCCGCGCCGAGGAGGCTCAGGGCGGCTCGCGAGTCAGAGCACGCCACCAGCGGGGCGAGGGACGGCTCATCCCGAACCCGCTTCAGCGCCGCCCTCAGAGCGAACAGCTCTGCGCGGGTGCTGGAACAGAGGTCTCCCGCAGCCACCTCAACCTCGAGAGTCTCCCCCGACGCGGTAAAGATGATGGCACCGCCCCCTCCTCGCCTGACCCCAGCGGCCTCTCGTCGCGTTTCGTTGGAGGAGGCTCGGCGACCGCCGGGGCCCACGTCCAGATGGTCAGCCTCCGAGACGCGGCGTAGAGGAAGTTGGCCGAAGGGGGACATGGCTGGAGGGCAACTAGTTGCCCTCCCCCCTTAATTCTCCGACGATATCGTCGCAATACAAAGACAAGGAGAAGCGAAACTTTGCGCACATATTCTGGAATAGCTAGCCAAAGTAGTGTCCAAATTTGGTGTCGATCTCATTTGAAATGACGGCACAGTGACGTCAGAATTCGAATTATTTATTATATTTTGTTAGTTTCCTCACGATATATCTGCTACATAGCGCCGAATAAATAAGACAGATAACTGGTCAAGAACTAGTTGAAAGTGTACTTGCATGTGTCAATATGACAACGGGTGCTGTTTAGTTCATTTACTGATACGTTTCATGCTCAGTGACATCAGAAACGCTCCTTATCGGAAAACGACAAAACTTTATTACGTCGCTGTGCCGTCATCTGAGGACCTACAATCACCAAACTTTCGTCAAATATTGCCTAGGTATTCATTTGGAATTATACCAAATTTCAAGTTCATATCAGGTTTTGGAGATAACACATGAAACGCAATGGGGGGGGGGGGGGGGCAACTTTATGACCCCACCCCCTGCCGAGTGGCTCGTGGGTTAAAGCTGTCTTACTGGTGAATGTTAATAATTTCGGTATTAGGGACGCCCCTGAGTTGCGGAAGTCATTTGTTCCCCTTCACTTTTAATACTGGGTTTGGAAACAATTGACACCCATTTTTGGTAATATTCTCACCCTTCTATTTTCAGTGCATAATGTGGTTTGGCAAGTGCTGTGTGTTAGTTTAATTGTTTACATTCCTGATGTGCTGTATATGTATACGTAAATGTGCACGGTCTTGAGCATGCGCATGTGTCTCTGGTTTCCGCATGTGTTTGGCATGTGCATGTGCATCCCGCGCTATGCATCCCGTGCTATGCCTTACTCATACTGTCTTCATTTACCTTTCAGTTTGTGGTGGGGCTTAAATAAATGCACGCTCAAGAGATATTGATCTTTGTGAATTGAACATTGGTAGCAGAGCGTGGTTACAAGATGGCATCTAGAGATTTCAAAGCCCCACCACCTATGCGTCAAGATTTGCCATATTCAGAGTGGAAGCATGAGATCAAAGTGTGGAAAGCTTTCACTAGCTTGGAGAAGTCCAAGTTGGGACCAGCACTGTTCCTGTCCTTAAGTGGATCTGCCAGAGATGCAGCCCGTGAGGTGTCAATAGAGATTCTGAACAGTGATACTGGACTTGATGCTCTCATAGAGAAGTTGGACGAGTTGTTCTTGAAAGATGAGAACAATGCAGCCTTTGAGGCATATGATGCGTTCGAGAGATATGAGCGACCATCTGGCATGTCTGTGTTTGAGTACATCAACACATTTGAAAGACTGTATCAGAAGGCAAAGCACTACAAGCTGGAGTTGCCTGATGGTGTTCTAGCGTACAGACTCATTCGCAGTGCTAACCTTTCAGATGCACATCAACAGCTAGCAAGGGCAACTCTGCCGTCGCTCACATATGCAAACATGCAAACCCAGCTGAAGAAGATCTTCACAGACAGTAGTTCTCAGGGTGTGCCGTCAGCGAGAGTGGCAGTAAAAGTCGAGCCCGTGGATACAGTCGCAGAACCAGGGCTCGGCCAGGCGGCCGACACTCTCTTCGTTCAGCGAGGCAGAGCACAGAGTGTCGGACGAGGTTTCAACCGAAGAGGACGAAGTGGTGGACCGCGCTTCGCCTCACGACCGCCTCTGCGTGGCAGTGGGACTACCTGGACTTCACGTGGCGGCTCGAGAGATCCTGGATCTGCTGGACAATCCGCCAACCAGCGCACAAGGGCTAGATCTAGGCAGAATCCACGGGATTTAAGGGGTAATGTGACCACCTGTGCAGTGTGCAACTCTTGGTTTCACTGGGCCAGAGATTGCCCCGATCGCGGTGAGGTGTTCGAGGCGTCTGCTTGTGACGATGATAGCCATGACCCCACACAGGACGAGGAGGTATTCGTGACGTTGTTTGCGAGGGATACATGTGAAAGTGGACCAACTGAACGTTCAAAGACGGAGGGACTGCTGGGCGAAACACTAGGCTATGGTATCATCGATAGTGGATGTAGTAAGACCGTGTGTGGTGAGGTGTGGTACAAATGTCACTTGGATGCCATGTCTTCAGATGACGCGGAGCGAGTGGTAGAGGAGCCCAGCAGCACAACGTTTAGATTTGGGGATGGTGAGAAGGTTACTTCTCTAAAGAAAGTAACGTTTCCAGCACTGGTAGCCGGTAAGACGGTGCGCGTGGCTGCTGATGTGGTTCCCTATGAGATACCTTTACTCCTCAGCAAGGAGTCGCTGAAGAAGTGTGATGCGCTGCTAGATTTTTCCCGAGACACGGCGGTACTGTTTGACACTGAGGTCAAGCTATCTGTGACCTCAAATGGCCACTACATAGTACCTGTGGCGAAGTTTCATGTCGGTAGTGTGAGTGCCAGGCAGGACATAGAGCAGGTACTTTTTTGTTCAAAGTTTGAGGGTGCCAACGAGAAGGAGCGCATGCAAATAGCTAGGAAGTTGCATCGTCAGTTCGGTCATCCTAGGAGTGTGAAACTGCAGTCCCTGTGTCTTGATGCTGGCGTCCAGGACAAGGATTTCTTTCGCATGCTTGTCTCAGTGGAGGAAACCTGTGATGTATGTAAGAGGTATAGGAGATGTCTGCCCCGACCAGTGGTTGGTTTTGGGATGGCTCGCGACTTCAATGATGTCGTTGCGCTGGATCTAAAGCAGTGGGGACCTGGAGTATGGTTTTGCCACATGATAGATCTGGCCACGAGGTACAGTGCGTGCGTGGTAGTGAAAAACAAAGACAAGCAAACGATCCTGCGTGCAATCATGACTGAGTGGATAGCTAGGTTCGGGGCACCCGGTCAGTTCTTGTCTGATAATGGAGGTGAGTTCAACAATGAAGAGTGCCGAGAGATGGCCGAGGCGTTCAACATACGCGTGCGGACTACTGCTGCAGAATCCCCTTGGTCGAATGGGATCAATGAGAAGTACAACGGTATCATCGCCAGCACAGTGAAGAAGGTGATGGATGACACTCCATGCTCTCTCGAGGTTGCTCTGGCTTGGGCTGTGTCAGCCAAGAACTCTCTTGAGACTCACCTGGGATTCAGTCCTAATCAGCTTGTGTTTGGGCGAAATCCGAACAACCCGGCGTGTCTCCATGACAAACCTCCGGCTCTGGGACCTCCTTCCGGAAGTGATTTGGTGAGGACACACCTGAACGCCATGCATTCTGCCAGGCAGACGTTCATTCAGAACGAGTCGAGCGAGAAGTTGCAGAGAGCACTTCTTCACCAGGTCCGTCCCAGTGGTGAGAGGTTTTGCTCGGGTGATGTCGTCCTGTACCGACGTCACCAAGATGACAAGTGGCGAGGTCCAGGTGTCGTCATTGGACAGGAAAACAAGCAGATCCTGGTGAAACATGGCGGCGTGTACTACAGGTGTCACACAAGCGCTGTCGTGCGCGACACAAGTGAGCCGCGGGAACTGACAAAGCGAGGCCGGATGTCAACTTCGGATCCGGCTCCAGGGACCCAGAAGTTGGAGAAGATCAGTAGTGCTCCGATCCCGGAGTCTGCTGAAGACTCCGATGATGATGAGCAGAACTCCAGGTCTACTTCGTGTACGGTGTCTGGGGACGCAAGACAACGCCAGTTGGTGACGGTATCACCCACTGGCGGTCTGCAAGATGTCGAAGGCGGCTCTGGTTCGGAACCCGGATCGCTAGCTCAGGCTACCAGAGAGTCCAATGCCATGGACAGTGATGGTGGCTCTGGTCCGGAACCCAGTTCGCCAGCTCATGCCACCGGAGATTCCAGTGTCGTGGTCGGTGGTGGCGTCGTCGTTCGTGACAAACCCTCGATACCTCGCGCTAAGTCGCGCATTACCTATGTTCTTCGTGATTCCTCTGATTGGAAGAGTGCCACAGTCCTGAGTCGTGCTGGGAAAGCCAAAGGGAAGTACAAATCCTTTTTGAATGTTCTTGACGATGGTGATGAAGTTGGCAAATGTGTAGACTGGCGGGATGTTGATGACTGGAAGCCTTTGAATCAAGACGTACTGGTGTGCACCTCGGATGACATCATGGCGGCTAAATTGTGTGAGTTAGAAAACTGGGAAAAGAATGAGGTGTATTCCGCTGTTCCCGATGAAGGACAACACTGTATCAGCTGCCGCTGGGTGATAACTGAAAAAGGTAATCCTGATGGTAGCTCACGCATCAAGGCTCGACTTGTTGCCAGAGGTTTTGAGGAGGACACATCTGGAGTCCAGACTGACTCGCCAACGTGCGGGAAGGAGTCACTAAGGGTGGTGCTCGCCATTGCAGCCTCACAGAGTTGGAGCTGTCATAGTATCGACGTGAAGGCAGCGTTCCTTCAGGGTTCTCCTCTCGAACGCGAGGTGTTCTTGCGCCCGCCTTCTGAGGCTAACGCAGGGTCACATGTGTGGAAAATGAAGACGTGCGTGTATGGCCTGAATGATGCCAGCAGGTACTGGTACCTGCGTGTCAGACGGGAGCTCCTCGCACTGGGAATGGTGGCCAGCAAACTTGATGCGGCGCTTTTCTACTGGAGAGCTGAGGACGGCCTTGAGGGCATCATCACCTGTCATGTGGACGATTTCCTGTGGTGTGGTTCCTCAAGGTTCGAGAAGGAGGTGATCGAGAAGCTGCGGCAGGTCTTCCTCCTGGGTTCTGAGGAATCTGAAATCTTCAAGTACCTTGGGCTGCACATTCACCAGCAGTCTGATAAGGTGATCAAGGTTCACCAGATGCCGCAGGCTGAGGAGCTGCAAGAGCCAAATCTCTCACCAGAGAGGCGAATGCAGAAAGACAGTGAGCTCTCTCCTGCAGAGCTTACCCGCCTCCGTGGCGTGACAGGACAAATCAATTGGCTGGCCACGCAGACAAGACCAGATCTTTCATTTGATGTTTGTGATCTCTCTTGTTCCATTAGGGATCCAAAGGTAGCTGATCTACAAAGGGCTGCTAAGGTAGTTCGAAAGGCTCAGTCGGCGCGGGTTAGTCTGAAATATCCTCATCTGGACTTGTCACAGAGCTCGGTGGTAGTGTACAGCGATGCGAGTTACGGCAATCTTCCAGATGGGTCCTCGCAGGGAGGATACGTTGTGTTCCTTAGAGACAAAAGGGGAAGATGCGCGCCACTTGCCTGGTCTTCAGCAAAGATCAAGCGCATTGTGAGAAGTACGTTGGCTGCAGAGTGCATGGCACTTCAAGATGGTGCTGATGCAGCTGTCCTTTTGGCTGCGCTGATTTCTGAGGCACTGTATGACGGGTCAGGAGACATGAGTGTGATGTGCTACATAGACAGCAGAGGGCTGTACAGGGCACTGTACTCAACCAAGGCGGTGCAGGACAAGAGACTTCGGATTGACATAGCCAGGATTAGGCAGATGCTGGAAGTTGGCGAGGTGACCAGGGTCTGCTGGGTCGACAGTTCTCAGCAGCTGGCAGACAGTCTGACCAAGAGGACGGCATCTTCCAATGCTCTGTTAGACGTGCTGAAGACGGGTATTCTGTGAATCGGGTTAGGTGTCACTATGAGGATGACTACGGTATCGTTGTTGAAGGAGGTGTCGTTGAAGACCTGTTTTGTTGTGACTCGCGTATTGAACAAAAAAGATAAGGGGATGATTGTTAGTTTAATTGTTTACATTCCTGATGTGCTGTATATGTATACGTAAATGTGCACGGTCTTGAGCATGCGCATGTGTCTCTGGTTTCCGCATGTGTTTGGCATGTGCATGTGCATCCCGCGCTATGCATCCCGTGCTATGCCTTACTCATACTGTCTTCATTTACCTTTCAGTTTGTGGTGGGGCTTAAATAAATGCACGCTCAAGAGATATTGATCTTTGTGAATTGAACACTGTGTTCTGCAGCTTGACTTATGTTTTCTTGCAGCCTTTCTTGAGATAAATAATATTGCCAAAGTTGAGATTGTCATGTTGCTCTATCAGGCTGGTGAACCCAGCTTCCCATAGCAGATGTTCTTTGTAACCCTCCCAGTTCCCACTTCATCCATTCATCAGTCGGTCCCTGTTCCCGCCTGTTCCCAATACTTTCGTGCTAAATCCTGTCCTTCAAAATATATTGGGATCATTTAGAAGGGAGGTTTTCATTTGACAATAGCTGCAACCGATGCTGAGCACTTAATAGATTATCAAATGCAGTGCTTAGCAGCTGCAAATTGCATCTCGATTATCAAGTATTCTATAACATGACATACCGTTTACAGAACGTAGGTTTTAGGATGAAGACCTCATGTAATCCCTGTTTCTGCCTTGTGCCATTTCAGAAGTTCGACAAGTGCTACCAGCTGGTGCAGAGCCTGGTGTCGGGTGTGTCGGAGAAGGAGGCGCACGATGCGCTCAACAGCAGCATCTCCAAGGGGCCGCAGGCGCACGACGACATCTCGCAGGGCCTGCTGGTGTGGCTGCTGTCGGAGCCGGCTGCCAGCAACAAGGTGGGCTCCGCGCGTCCCTCCCCAGAGCGACCCATCAGGCTGGGACTAACAGGCTGATCACGCTTGTCACTTGTGTAGGGATTTGGTTGATACTTATGACAATCGGGTGCATTCCTCTTTGCTTTTGCCTTTCTTGCTCAGTTTTGCTCATAAAGTTTTGCCTTTTTAATGGATGAATATTGTAAGACATTTATATAATTTATGGTGAACAATCTGGTATAGTCATACTGCCCACAACTGAAGTGTTACAACTTTCTGCCGTCGTAATCGTACGCCAATCCGACCGGTTGTGAAGTCTCACTCATGCTGTGCTCTATTGATTTCAGATATACCGGGACCTGACCCTCATCACGAGAGACGGCTTCAGCGCCGTCATTGCACAGATGCAGTTTCTCATTATGGAAAAGTACACAAAGCTGCTCGAATCGGTCAAACAGCAGCTTATCTGGCTCACACGTGAGATGATCCGGTGAGTTTATCGTGCATCACCTAAGGTGTGAAGGCGGTGGATAACGATGACATAAAAACTGGTATCCCACTCAAAAATCTAGCTAAGGATAACGAACATTTTGTATTCAATGGGTGGATGATTTTAGGTCGGTTCATCCGTCCGGAGGTGGTGCGTTCGCTCCCTCTCGCTCTGTCCCCCTGCGATCGTTTCTGCTTCATTGACCGCCGGCGGGTCGTTCCAGCAACTCGGTGAACGGCACAGAGGCGCTCTGTTGGAACCTGATGCGTCAGATCGTCGGCGGAGACGTCTCACCGAAAAACATCTGGCTGGCAGAGAGTCTGCTCGACATCTACGTCGAAAACAGGTAACCGCAGCGCGACGTGTTTTCTTTTGTGAAAATGGAACACACGATGCCGATAGGCTTGCCGTTGCAAACTTTTCAGCTATTTTACTCAATCCTAATTTGCACGCAAAAGAAAAAATTATCACGCCGCTAATATTATGGTTTCACCTAGTTTTTGTGTGTCTATAGCAGACAGTTTAATTCGTGCTTACCAATGATTCATCGTTCTGCCCGCTGACAAAGATGTCCCTGTTGTGTCTCCAGGGCGTGGCTGGAGAAGCACTCGTTCCTGGTGGCGTCTGCCGTGTACTCGTACCTGCGGATCATGGAGGACCACTTTGCGCCGCAGTTCCAGGCGCTGCGACAAAAGGAGACCACGTTCGTGGTGCAACTGCTCAGAGAGAGGTGAGAGGGCCGGTGAGAGAGGGATCAGACAGCGAGCCGGACGGAAAAGGTGTGCACTGTGTTGGAAGGAACCGCGGCAGACTAATGCCGGCTGAGGTACCGAACTTAATTTGACATGTATCGAAATTCGACTGCGTCGTCTGACCCGGTGGCCTTGCGCCGTAGCTCGTCTTACCCTCGCCTGACCTCTGACCGCATGATCTGGCGGCAGGTTCGCTGACTGCATGATCATCGGCCGCGACCTGGTGCGTCTTCTGCAGCACGTGGCGCGCATCCCGGAGGTGGAGGCCGTGTGGCGCGACCTGCTGCACAGCCCCACCGTGCTGCTCCCGCAGTTCGGCGGTAAGCATACGTCAGCAGTCTGTATCTGTCTGACACGGATCTCTGGGGCTTGTGGTGTTGTGATTTCTGTCGTTTTGAAGTATTTCATAAAGGTACTGCTGTCTACACTGCTCATTCAAATCAATGTAACCAGCTGCTGGCGTGACATTTGAATACCCGTACGCTGCCTTCCGACAAAAAAAAAAGATGCAGAATAAACAAACCGATTTGTGTTACAGGCCTCTTGAAACGCGACAGTCAGTATTTACCGCAATAGTTCCATCCGTTACCTTCGCCTTTGGACTACCGCGCTATAACCGCCCCCATCTCTCCGCAGGCCTGCTGCAGCTGATGCAGACGCGCACGTCTCGCCGCTTCCTGCAGTGTCGGCTCACCCCGGACATGGAGAAGAAGCTAGTGTTCCTCACCTCCCAGGTCCGGTTCGGCATGCAGAAACGCTACCAGGAGTGGTTCCAGCGACAGGTGGGTCGACACGACGACACGGCGAGACGAACGGACAGATTCAGACGGATTCATCGGAATATTTCAGGCATTGTTCGGGCCTAGTGCTTATAAGATGAATGCTCGCAAGGTGCTTATTTTGAGTCTAAATCAGCCGTATAGTCTTATGGTGGCATCTGCGATCGTTGATGACGAGTATGACCTACAGCTGGGGCGATGGTGACTTAATTCGGTGTCCCTGCCGAGTATAATTATTTAGTACCCCGCTCAGTCACCCTTCGCACACCCATTTTCCCTCAGTCCAACGCACCCGCTCGGTCCGACCGTGTCTCGTGTTCCGGTATCGGAACACTCTCGTGTTCCGGTATCGGAACACGAGACCTTCTGCCTCCACGGCTCTGACTGACCAATACGTCTTTCCTCCCCCAGTACCTGGCGACGACGGAGTCCCAGTCGCTGCGCTGTGACCTGATCCGGTTCATAGTGGGCGTCATCCACCCGTCGAATGAGCTGCTCTCCTCGGACATCATCCCGCGCTGGGCCGTCATCGGCTGGCTGCTCACCACCTGCACCTCACAGGTGAGAAATGGGTGGCTCGCCACCTGCACCTCACAGGTGAGAATGGGTGGCTCACAGGTGAGAAGGACCTGTCGAGCTCTTCCGTGTCTTCCAAACACACAACCGTTTTCGAGTCTTTGCTATGCTGCTTGATGTTTACGGGCGAATGGGGGCGTGTAGCGTAGTATAACGCTTCTGCCAAGTCCATAATATCCGTCTTTGACGATGATCTCGACTGACGAGTGACGAGCTCTTTGCCTTTCCCTCCAGGTGGCCATAGCCAACGCCAAGCTGGCTTTGTTCTACGACTGGTTGTTCTACGACGCCGAGAAGGACAACATCATGAACATTGAGCCGGCCGTGCTGGTGATGCACTTTTCGCTGCGGCCGCACCCGGCCATCACGGCCACTCTGCTCGACTTCATGTGCCGCGTGAGTCGTCAGGGACAGAGATGAGAGAGGAGCATCTGTGGTCACGGGATTCGAAGGGGCAGAGGGGTGGAACTGTCACGGGAGTCGTCGTGGGCAGAATATGGTTGGAGCTGTGGCCGTAGGAGTCGTCAGGGACAGAAGAGATGGAAATGTTACTGATAGGGACAGAAGGGAGGGAGGGAATTTTGGTCAGGAAAGTCGTAGGAACAGAAGGGAGCGAGCGCGGTGGTCATGGGAGTCGTAGGGGTCGAGCAGATGCGCCAGACCAAGGATAGTTGACTAACCTGCTGATAATCTAACCCAATCTGGCCTTTCAGGTGATTCCCACGTTCTACCCGCCACTGACGGACCGGGTCTCCCGTGGCATGTTCACGGCGCTGCACCAAATCATCAAGATGCGCGTGCTGCCGTCGCTCTCCCAGCTGTTCCAGAACCCCAAGCTGGACAAGGACCTGCGCAAAATGCTGCGAGAGTGGTTCGCTGAGTTCTGCACCGACGGTGAGCGAGTCCAGGGTATTTTGAAAACAGCGAGTGACTCAGTCATTTTCTATGGACGGCTACAATTGCTTATCATTTGATTGCACCACCTTGGACGAGGGATCAAGTCCCGACTCGCTAGATGTCTTTTTACCGTTTATGTCGCGTCCAGTTCGTATTGCTCGGTGGTTTTGGGTCGCATGTTTGTCCGATTCATCACGGAACGGAAACCCACGGCGTCTAATTAGTACTTACTGTGTAGTACACCACGTCACTCACCATGCGCCGAGTTTGTGCGTCCGACTGACTGAGAGGTCCGCTGTTCTCTGCCGACAGCGGTGGTCAAGTCTGACGACATGCAGGAGCTGGGCGGTGATTCGCTGCAGTCGGAGCTGGCCATGCCCAAGTCGCCACCCGGTGACGAGGCCACCTTCAGTGACGAGGAGGATGACGTGTCTCCAGGTCAGTGGGAGGTGGCCTCGGTCGTTAGCTGGATCGGCCAGAGACGGGATGAGAGCTAGATTAATTTAACTTGGTCTTGTAGCCTTGATGCAGTGACTGCCACTCGCTGTGACCGATGTCACGAACATCTCTCACCGCCAGCGTTGTTACGCCTGCGCTCCTCTAACCCTCTGTCCACCTCTCCCCCAGGGAGCTCCCCGGTGAAGGCGGAGCCGCCGCCGGTGAAGGCGGAGCCCGGTGTGGTGAAGACGGAGCCGGCTGTGGTGAAGCCGCCGTTCCCGCCGACGGAACAGGCGAGCGCGCCGGCGCCGGCCCCGGACGAGTCGCCGCCGGGCGACGGGGACGGCCCCGAGCGGCCGGCCGGCTCTCCGCAGCCCGACGACGAGCTCACGGAGGCCATGGAGGTGCTGGCGGCGCCGCTGCGGAAGGAGCTCGACAAACTGAGGAACGAGACCGATGTGGAGCTGCAGTGAGTGTCGGCAGGGAGGGGGAGGGGACGGGCGAGGGAAGGGAATCAATCGGGTGTCGGGAGAGATGGGGAGGACGGATCGCAGATGGGTTCGGTGGAAGCTGATATAGTCGAATAACGACTGGCTATTTATAATTGTAGTATATTTTTTTTTTTGAAATGCTGGTGCTTTGATCTGACGCTAGTTCAGCCAGTGCCACGTCTCTGCGTGGCAGTAGCGGACTCCGTCCGCTGCTACCCTCCGTGAGCAGTAACCACGGACTGACCTCCTTCCCCCGCTCCGTCAGGTGCGCGGCCATCGAGCGTCTGTGTGTGGCCGCCTGTGAGTACGAGCTTACCGAGGAGGAGAACACGGCGCTGAGCACCTGTCTGACGGCGCTCTGCAGCGAGACGCTCAACTCGAACGTGTACCCGGCGCCGGACGAGCTCGGCGAGGAGGCGCTCGAGGATTCCATTAGTCAGCCGCTGTTTGTGCTAATGCGCTGTTTGTGTGACGCGCCGGAGGAGGACCCCACGCGGCAGACCCTGATCGGCGTGCTGGCAGAGATGAGCGAGCGGTCGCCGCGGCTGCCCTACCTGCTACTGCACTTCATCAACGTCAGGTGAGTTCGGAAGCGGAGACGGCGGGGATATTGTGTGACGACTGAGGGAAATTAGTGTTGGAGGGTGTAACGGTCAGGGACGACTGCCAGCCTGTAAAGTATATTTGTTCATTGAGCTAGTGTGTGAGACGTGGCGAATTTTCCGAGTCTGACGGTGATTGGCGCATTGGTCGCGTTTCAGGATTGCCAAAGAGGAGAAGGAGACCAAAGTGAAGTGGTTTGGCGTGTACAAGGAGTTGTGCCACGCGCGCGACACTAACCGTGAGCTCGCCGTCTCGGTGGTGGAGGATCTCAAGGTGAGCGCGACGTCACTGGTGGACGGCAGTGACGTCATCGGTGGACGATGCGTCGTGCTGGGGGACACGCCCGTCGTAAGGCATGCGGTTATCGTTGTGTTGTATTTCGTATGGTCCACTGTAGGCCTATAGACACGCGTCTTTGTTTTTGGAGTTCAGTCGGCTTCACGTTTTTTTTTTCGGACGTGGCCCTGTGATATACTATCATCGCTGATATTTTACGTTCCTTGGTAATATTTTACGTTCATCTGTGATATTTATGTCCCTCGGCGGTGGACCGCACTGTTTGGGATGACGCTCGGCTCCCATTGCAGGCGCTCGGTGGGCTTGGCACTGAGTGAACCAACCCCCTCCAAAAGGTACACCGAACGTCCTGAGCGTGCGTGTGAGAGAGTGAGAGGGAGAACTGGGCGGATGTCCAAGTCCTGGTGTCAGGCATCCTCTCATTGTGGGGACTTTCGGTTTTCTATCGATCACTCTCAGTCTGTTCCGAACTCCTGCTGTCTGTCAGCTGTCCTATGTGCACTGTGACCGCCTCTCATCCTATTCCAAGACACGCACGCCCTGGTGAATGAGTCTGGGTTTGGAGGCCCCACTGTCTCTCTCCCCCCCCCCCCCCCCGATCTGCCATACAGTATCCTTGGTCTGACAAGCCTGGTTGTGACTCCCCTCCCTCTGTGGTCCTCCCTGTGATAGTATCGCCGCCCTCACTCCCTCCCCTCGGCCATTCTGACCGCCCCGCTCCCTCGCCGGCCGGTGCTGACAGACGTGCCAGGAGGAAGAGCAGAACCTGTTTATCGTGCTGGTGCCCACCCTGTTCACCCACCTAAGCACCGCCTGCGTCGGCAACGTCGAGCTGATGAACATGATCGTCAGCTCACTCGACTCGAATCAGCTGCTCCAGCTGCTGAGTCACATCGTCCAGTCGGATCTAGTCATGTTCAGAAAGGACTCCTTTATGAAAGTGCTCAGTAAGTGTTCACCAGCGATCAGGTCGCCGGGATGGAGGTTGGAGATGCGCGGGACAAGGGTGGGCGAGCGTCGTGCCATTCAAATTGCGGAGGTCAGAATGCCAGGGTCCTTTGATATGTGAGTTTGGGTTCCGTTCATATCACATAATCACAGTCACCTGATTTATCTGTCCTTTTTATATGCTTACATTGTGACTTGTGTCCATGTTCTGTGAGTGGTTCATATAGCAGCCCTGTGACGTACTGTGTTCCCCGCCAGTCTCTAGTGGGAGACGTTCGAGCAGTACTGTCTGTGGCGGCATTATAACAGCCATGTGACGTAATGTGCTCCCCCTGCAGACGCCAGCCTCGAGTGGGAGACGTTCGAGCAGTACTGTCTGTGGCAGCTGGCCGTGGTTCATATGGCAGCCCTGTGACGTATATCTGTCCGTGTTCTCCCCACAGACGCCAGCCTCGAGTGGGAGACGTTCGAGCAGTACTGTCTGTGGCAGCTGGTCGAGGCGCACGAGCTCACCATCGACTACATCCTGCCGCTGCTCACCACCATCCAGAGCCGCGAGCACGCCGAGGCGGTCAGCTGCGTCATGCTCATGCTGCGCAGAGAGGAGTGAGTCGCACACTGACGCACCTGGGACGTGCCGCTGGGGCGGGGATGGGTACCCTCATCTTCTGGCTAGGTTGGGGTAGCGACGTGACAGTGTTGGAATTGATGGAACGCTTTTGGAAACGTCACGAACCTGTGAGGCAGAATAAGATTAGGTTCAGTATCGTAGGCGGAAAGGAGATATTGTTGAAAGATCCTATCCTCTGCCTTGTTATGCCCTCCTGTCCTCGTAATGCTCCATGTTCCATGCCCCTCCAGCGCACACATTGTTAGGCATTCACTGATGCTTGTTGCTCGCGGCCCGGCTGCCCTGATATTGTGTTTCCTTGGTTCTCGCCGTTGGTCGGTCCCCAGTGTCTGACCCGCCCCCTCCCCCGCTGTGTCAGGCCGTGCATGGAGCTGGTGAAGCCGCTGCTGCAGCGCACCGCCGAGGAGCCGCACGATGTGTTTGTCGCCTCCGTGCTGAAGTACTGGTCCACCGAGTACGAGGAGCAAACGGCGCGGCTGATCGCCAACCTCATCAACCGCACCAGCCTGACGCCCAACAAGCGGCGGCGCAACTCGCCGCGCTCCAACCTGCCCACCACCGAGCAGATCCTGTGCCACCTGGACCAGATGCGCTGCGCGCTGCGCTCCGCCTCCTTCTGGAGCATCGACGAGGTGCAGACGGCGCTCAGCGTGGCGCAGAGCGGCTCCAACGAGGCGCAGCGCAAACGCTTCGCCGACCTGTTTGCCCTCATTGAGGTCGAGGAGGAGGCGCGCACGCGGCGGGGGCGCAAGGCGGCCGCGCGGGGCCGCGCCACCACCAAGAGCATTCAAAAGTCGGCCGAGACGGACTCGGATGAATCGTCGGAGGTTAGTGGCTGGCGTGTGACGTCGCCAGTGACGCCAGTGGTGCAGTGGCCCGCGCGGTGCGGGCGGTGACGCGGTTATGACGCGCCGACCACCAGTGTGGGGGTGGTGTGGAGCTGCGGTCATCCGACAGCCGGGCGCGCGTCTTCAGGACCGCGCCACGGTCGGCGGTCCCGCTCTCCAGCCCGACCGGCCTGCAAACGCCGGTGCTTATCGCTGCAGCGGACCTCCGTGCTGTCTGTGATCTGCCAATTTTTCGAAGTCGGCCTAAGTTTTTTTAAGTGCACGTTAGAACGTTTTCAGTTTTCCGAACATGGTTTGCGTTATGATGATTGTTCGTTGTTTTCTTTGCACATTTTCGCCCGATATTGTTTTTGTTACGAGGTGCGCGTAACAAAGTGTTTTTGTTATCGTTTGTTTGTCTGGGTCCCGCTATTCAATCTATCTGTTTATCGGTCCCCTTTTCTCCTTTTTCAAATAGCTGTAGGCTTGTATACCATTCGGCCACAGTCCCCCTGTTTGGGAAGCTGTCCGACCTCCCATTGCACTCCTGGCTTCGTAGTAGCTCCCGTTCGTCATATTTGGGGTGTGCCCAGCCCGTCCGCCCGCCTCTGTCCCGCATTCACCTCCTCCATTTCATCTGTTCCAGGACGAGGAGGTGATAAAGAAGCCGACGAAACGGAGACGAAGGAATAATCAGCTGAACTCGGACAGTGATTGAGTGAGAGTCGCCGCGTGCCGGGCCGCGCGGGGCGGGGCGGCCGCCGCTACCGTGTCGGCGCGGGCCAACTGTTTTTAATATAATGCAATGTACCTGTGTAAGGGAGTTTACGGAATGGCGGACTTGAGCAGAAATGGAAGAGAGTAGTAGAATGGCCCGAACCCCGGACATGAAGGCTCTATGACTGCCGATTATGGTGATAAGACAACGCTAGCGCCGATCTAAGAAGTTCCACGATCTCTCTCTGCTGGTTTTATTTTAGGCATCGCATTCATCGATATCATTGACTATTGAGCTTCATTCAAACGCACATCAGAACGTAATCTGCTCAGAGCACGACATGCAACCCACGGATTTCACGAGGCTGGCATTGTACGCACAGCCGCGATGAATTGTTCAGCGAAGTGAACTGACTGCCTCGCAACGCGGATATCACTTGTGGTCTCTTGTACCTTGTACCTTGTAGAATACGAGCTGCTTGAGTCTCTTGCAAGAAAAACGTACAAAACACTATGTTTCAAAATACTGACTCATTAAAACTTCTGTCCACCTCCACATGGTTGGCACAACGCACGTCGCACGTCCTACCGTGCATTCAACTGGCGTGCGCAACGTTGCACCTCTTATCGAAACCTTTCTATCAATATGGCTGGGCCGACAGTCCCACCTCTCAACATTAGGAACAGTTCAGTGTCGACTGGCCTTACTGATCGGAGGGCCGGATCATCTGGTAACCTCTCTGAGGTAGGCTGGGGATGACTCAGACTGAATATAAGCGCGTAGGAGGGGTGGGGTCATCCGACTGGCCGGTGGCAGGTCAAGTGATGATCCTCGCAGCAGTTCCTCGGACTCAGCTGGCTGCTGACGTCATCTGACCGTGCCGGCAGGTCAGCTAACCGTTCCTCGCAGGAGGTCAATTACTGACTGTCCCGGTAGCACGTTCGCTGGCTCCCGGCGGTTGAGGTTTGATGGTGATCCCAGCAGGGTCAACTGACTGCCCCGGCGGCGGGGTCAGCTGACTGCACCGGCGGCGGGATCGGGGAAGAGTCGCACCACCACGTCTGGGCTGGCCTCCATCACCGACTCACAGAAGACCGCCTCGCGAGCCGCGCCGCCGCCTCCTGCTGTCGGAACACGGAGGGGCGACCAGTTACACCATGACCAGTCAGGATAAGGCTGGACGAATGAGAGGCGATTAGAAGCCCATTTGTGATAGGCGGGGAACAGAAATACTCTAAAACAAACAAGTTATTTTTCGAAACACGTGACAATTGGGCAGACAACAAATACAATTTCACCAGGCATAGACTTCTATATACAGAGGTCTATGCACCAGGTAGTGCAAAGATCTCACCTCGTGTGCATGAGCAGCTACCAATAATTGTGCGATGACGGCTGACTTAATATTCAAAGGAGCGACATCCATTAACTAAAAAAAAAGTGGAGCCTGCGTCATGCGCCAGTCTGACCATCTTGCCTGCGCCAAGAAGATAGAAGATCGTTCACGTATCGGCCCGGTGACCTGCCCACTAACGGCGCGGCCGTCCACTCACCAGCGGCCGCCGGCGGCGGACCGGCGAACTTTTTCAGCTCGCAGATGACCGGCCGTCGGATAGAGTCCGCCAGACAAAAGGACGGGAGCAGTCCGGCGGCGGCCGGCACGCGCCCGGTCTGAGGGAACCGACACACGGCCCGGTCAGAATGCGCCGCCGGAGCAGTGGGGACATCCGCCCGGCACGACGAGCTGATAGATACGGGAATATTCCCATCAACATTCATACAATGTGATTCCAACATGAGCTAGACACAATGGGACCAACATGGACGTTATTCGACTCGTCCCGCGTCCTGGTCCGTACCTTGGTGCGCGGCTGGAGGTAGAAGATCTCGCCCTGCTGTTCGGCCTCAGTCAGCAGCGCGCGCCACTGAGCGTCCGTGACGCCCAGCAGCTGACGGACACTGTCACCAATCAGCTGAGCCGTCACCGCCGCCGAGCCGTCATCCAGCACCGACCTGACGGAAATAGTGCAGTAATTAAACAATGACCTGACAGAAATGGGATAGGGCCGTCAAACACTAGTCTGACAGGGGGAAGGGGACCACCATCGGACACTGACCTAACAAAGGGGATAGGGCCGTTACCAAACGCTAATATGACCAAGAGGGGATACGGCTAGTCACCGAGTCAAGGACTGCACTGAGTTAAAGTCAACACTGGTCTGACGGAGTGAATGGGGCCCGGCGGCGTCATCCTACACCAGCGTGGCAAATGGCATCACACTCACCTTGCCATCCCCTCTAACCCACCTGGCCCTGGCGTTGTAGACGTGCCTCCCGCGCCCGTGGCAGCCGACGAAGCCGCAGCAGCCGGCGGTCAGCTGGCGGCCGCAGAGGGCACACTCGGCCGTCACGGATACCCGGCAGAGGTCGGCCAGCGTGACACAGCTCAGCCAGCGGGTGACCGAGGGGTCGGAGAGCGCCGCCGAGAGGAAATGTACCGGCAGGTGCAGCCGCGGCCTGACGGGACAGACAGGGGTCGAATGGAGGTCAAACAGGGCCGGGTCAGACCAGACAGAGATAAGACGGAGGTCAAAGAGAGGACAGACAGGTAGGAAATGGGGCGGTCAGAGCTCAGAGAGATCCGTGGCGGGCTCACAAACAGGGGGGGGGGGCATATGGGTCACAAGGGCAGATAGCAGTCAGGGCAATGTCAGATGTCATATACTGGTCAGCGAATGGCCAGCTGGACAGGAGAGGCCAGCTGGCGTGATCACCAACTTGCGGGCGGTTACACGGAGGGTTACGGTGAGGAAGAGTACCGTTTGATGTGTAGCAACCATCGGACAAGTTCATTTTCACGCTCAAAACCTATCACAACGGATGAATATGTTTGACGTCCTAAAAATAAAGCAGTGGATCGCCTGTGAACAGTCACAGAGTGGAACGTCCGACACACCCTCCGCTACTCCTCACAATCGTCACAGAGTGGAGCGCCCGACACCAACTCCCCCGCTCCTCCCATTTATCGGTGTTCGAACCTCCCCCCGCACCCACCTCCTGGCGCCGGGGTGCTCGGGCGGCGCGCTCCAGCCGGTCAGCTCGAGCTCCGACAGCGGCGTGGTGACCAGGTGGGCGCCGCCGCCGGCCCAGCGGACCGCGTGCGCCGTCAGCGCCGCGCCCGGCACCAGGCCGAGCAGCGAGACCCAGCGGGACGGCTCACACACGTACAGCGGCAACTCGTCCGGCGTCTCCGGGTCACTGAGCAGCAGCACCACGCGGTGGGTGTCTGGGGAGGGGTCAGGTCAGGTCAGGTCACAGAGCAGCAGCACCACGCGGTGGGTGTCTGGGGGGGTCAGGTCAGGTCACTGAGCAGCAGCACCACGCGGTGGGTGTCTGGGGAGGGGTCAGGTCGGGTCACAGAGCAGAACCACGCGGTGGGTGTCTGGGGAGGGGCCACCAGGTACGGTTACCAGGCCACTGCGTCACACAGCAACAGGCGGTAAGTACACTAACCGGGACAGGCGTCAGGCCGGCTGGTTTCGGGCACATTAATGGTTCATCATTACGGGGTCGACTCGTTGGGCTACGTAATAGACACGGTCAAACACCGGTAACAATCACGTACGTGCAGTGAGTGTATGAACGTTGGGGATAGCGTGATCGGGGCCACGCACAATTCAATGTCGATTGTTTTATCGCAGCTGGACAATACGACGTTGCCGATGACGGCCCTGCCCTCCCCCCTCCCCTCCCCGGGTACGTACCGAGGCTGATGGCCGGCTGGTGCGAGGCCTTGGCGTACCGATCGCGGGCGTGGCGCCGCTCCCGTATGACGCCACGGACCGACAGCAGGTCGTCATCGGACCCGCCCGGGGCCAGCTGCGACACACTGCCGACGTCACAGCGTCAGTAGAGTACAGACAGTGTCAGACCTTCAGCACAGACAACCTGGCGCCGGCACAGCGCCAGTGCAGGGCAGCAGGGATAGGTGGCATTAGTGCAGGGCACCATGACGTCAGCACGGGCGACTCCGTGGAACATATTGATGCGACCACAGAGGGCGTAAAATGACTTGAGCAACGTCCCCAAGAATATATTGAAACGGTGCCCACAGCCCAGCCGAGAAAGTCCTCACCCCAGAGCTGCTCACAGGACTCTGACTGAGTAGTCGCTCACGTCCCCCTCAGAGTCCCCACCTTTTCACCCGAGTACGCCCACACCCAACCAAAGTACGCCCGCATCCCACCTGAGTACATCGGAGGAGAGGACGGCGGCCACTGGTGATGACTCGGCGGTAAAGTGCAGGTCGTCCGGCGCCCGCAGCGTGGGACACTCTGCCAGCCACGGCTGCAGCTGCCCGTTCAGCAGCCTGTGGGCAGAGTGGCTGGGTCAGGTACTCACCGGTCTGTGGGCAGAGCGAGTCAGGTGCCCGCGGTGAGGGGAGACGGAAAAATACCGGCTGCGTGACGATTCTCGACATTTAGCGAGGTCGTCTGTAAGTTCAGCGTAGCTGTTGATTGTACCGATGAATCGGCTGGAAAATGGATACATGAAGAGAAAAATAAAAATAATGGCCCAGGCAGCTTTTAACATAAAAATGTACAGTTAGTAGCGATAGGCCTCAGCTAGCAGCACCCCGTCGTCCGCGGCGCCCCTTCCCCCAGTACCGCTGCCCCACTCACTCTCTCCCTGTCCACAGGCGGTCCTCAGAGTGCAGCAGGTAGGTGGTGCCCCGTGTGAGGCGGGCCGCGCGCCCGGCCGCCGCTCCCGTCAGCCGCAGCACCACCGGACGGCGGCGCGCAGCCTCCTCCAGTAGTCCGTGCAGCAGCAGGAACGCTCCGCCATCACCACTGGCGGTCGGGCGGCGGGCAGAGCTGCGGTGGCACACCAGCAGACGGACGGCCGGCGCGGGCGGGGGCGGCGGCGGCTGGCCGGCGGGGGCCGCACCGCTCCCCAGCGGCACCAGCTGCCGCTCCTCGCAGAGCAGGTATATCAGCGGCCGGTCGTGGCCCAGTCTCTCCACCACCAGCCGCGGCCCGCGGATCAGCACCAGACCGTCCGAGGCAGGCTGTCCGGCGGTGTGAGACTGTCCGGCTGTGTGAGACTGTCCGGCGGTGTGAGACTGTTCGGCGGTGGGCGACTGTCCGGCGGAGGCGGTGTGAGACTCTCCGTCCGCGGGCGGCACCAGCAGCAGCGGCAGTGAGCAGTCGGCGCCGGCCGTGGCCCGCAGTCCGCCGGCGCTGTCGCTGCTCAGCCACGCCACGGTCAGCCACTGTTGGTCCCCGCCGACCCAGTGGTGCCAGCCGCGGCCGTCCGGCGGCTCCGGAGGAGTGGAGTCGAGCAGAGCGGCCGACACCAGCTCCGACAGAGCGGTCAGCTCGAACGGCGCCCCGAACTGGCGACAGGGGAAGGGGTCAGCTCGAACGGCGCCCCGAACTGGCGACAGGGGGGGGGGGGGGTCAGCTCGAACGGCGCCCCGAACTGGCGACATAAACAGCGGCGGGAGGGAGAGGGGAGGGTCAGCTCGAACAGCGCGGCGGTAGAAACTTGCGACACATGGAGGCTGAGGGGGAGAGACAGCGCCGACCAAAGGGGCAGAGCGGAATACGGCATCGACAGTTAAGTGAGGTTATGAAGGCTTTGTGCTATGTCATCACCACCGATCGTCGCAGAGCGCAGTTGAGAATAGCTATCGGCAGACGCCAGACGGGAGGAAAATAAGACTGCGCTCGTCTCAGAACGACATTCGGAGCTCTGCTGGAAAACGAATGAATTGTCGAGCTGTACGAAGGAGAAGCGGAAACAGAAACAGAAAACGAGTGGACCAGCCTACGGGAATCGGACATTCTGATTTACGTCCATTTCGGAGACAATTTAACACGAAACAACCGCGGGGTAGCAACGTCATCAACACACAAACCGTGTTAGAGACAGAGTGCGCTACGAGGACATTCACTGCGAGGGCTTGCCAGCTCACCTTTTGTGATACGGCGCAGCGGTGCGGCCGGCAGAGAAACTCCTTGGTCAGCGATCGCTCGGCGGTGGGCAGCTGCTCCCTCTGCAGCAGCCGGTGCAGCACGCCCTTCGCGCCGTCCACGGGAACCCTGCGCACAGCGGCGGCGTGTCGGGACGGTACGGACGGCATAAGTCGTCGTGGCGCCTGAGCGAACGGGGGGAAACCCGATCGGTGGCACCAATTGTACAGATACTTGACGACTTATGCTTATAAAAAGCATGAAACATCGATAAAAGCCACCTGGAATGACTAGTATTCTTATAACATACAACACTGACCGGGCTCTTACGACACCAATACCCTCCTCCCTCCACCACCACCTAGCCGTCATCAGGTAGGGCAGATAGTTCCCCGTGACCTCATCCAGCCCTACCGGCGGCGGCACTGACCTTCCCTCGGCGGCGGCGGCGATGCGCTCGGCCGTGCGCCGGTACCACCAGACGGCCGTGGGCGGCAGACAGAACCAGTGGAGGGTGTGTACCGCAGAGCGGCGGCAGATGGCCACCGGCTCCGGCTCTCTGCGGGGAGGAGAAGCGCGGCAGGGTCACGGTGCGGCAGGGTCACGGTGCGGACTGCGGCGGGTCACGGTACGGCGAGTCATGGAGGGGTCACGGTACGGCGGTTCACGGTACGACGGTTCACAGCAAGCACACGAAGATGAGACCGACAGAAGACACGAACGACGCGCGAACCAAGCAAACGGCGACGATGCCAACAGAAGAGACGAACAACGTGCGAACAAAGCACACGAAGATGACACGAGAAGAAAAGCCAACAAAAGAAAGAGATGGATTTCGGTCCCAAATTCGAAAAATATTGATATCATAGTAAGAGCACTTGAAAAGTCACATATCAAAGTAGCTACAGTAACAGGAAAGAAAACTCAAGATTTAGTCAAGCACCATGAAACCAAAAAAGATACCAGTGATGAAAAAAGTGTAGTTTACGAAATACCATGCAAAGGGTGCCAAAGAACGTACGTTGGGGAGACGGGAAGAGGGGTGGAAGTTCGTTTGAAGGAGCACAGAAGCGATGTAAAATTTCACCGAACATCAAATGCAATAGTACTGCATATAGAAAAGTATAACCACTTACCTGACTGGGACGGTACGAAGATATTAGAAAACAATATAAAGAAAGGTACAAGGAAGGTCCTGGAAGCAGCCCACATCATCACACGTGAAACGTTTAACAGTAGGAGCGGATTCATCACATGGTCGTCAATGGCAGCAAAATCGGTGGTAGACCAGCAGAAGAAGAAAACACGCGGCTGATTAATTTCAAAGAATTTTTAGACGGTTACAGCGATTGTTATACTCATTTGCACAGTGATCAAGGTTCCATGAACCGAAAGCTTTGTGTGTCTTTTTGAATATATTTGAATGCATTTGTAATAATTTGGTTTATTATTTACATCATCATCCAACCTGTCATGGATACTCAACATTTAGCAGCTAGAATAAAACCAGCGACTAATTAATTGCCTGCAATAGCACCACCCACACAGCAGCCGAGCGGCCGGACGCGGCGTCTGTGACGGCTGAGTACCGACCTGTCCAGGACGCACACCAGGCTCCGTCCGCAGGCGTACAGGGCGCGCTCGGCGGCCTGCCAGTGGCCGTGGTGCACGACCACCTGGTCGCCGAGCCGCAGCTGGGGGCAGCTGCAGACGGCCGCCAGGGCGGAGAGCACCAGCCGGCAGCTGCCGTCCAGCTCGTACAGCTGCAGCGAGGGCTCGGCCGCCGTCACCGTCCCCTGGACACACGGCGGGGCGGCTGCAGCGGTCAGCGGCGAGCACCGCGGGCGTACAGAGGCCAAATAACACGACGTTTTGGATGCATGTAATGTACGTTAGTCCGACGGTGACTCTTCCACATCAGCTGATTTCTATAGGTGTTTCAAAATACCAAATACATTTACTTACTTTTGTACAAAAGTGCATGATATTAATGACTCACCTTGTATGAAATGAGGTTCGATGGTTCGTCATCGTTGTGGAACATTTCCACATCGTTCGTCGATTCCTCAATGATCCTGGTTTGCGATCCAGCGATAAGAACAGCAACCTCATCTTGGGTTCCCTGCAGACACAGCTCTAGTGGCATCAATTAGCAATTCACAGGCACCTCTCATCAGTCAGAAGTAATGCTCCTCCCCCCCCCAAAAAAAAACAAGCAAAAAAATTAAAAGAGCATGGCGCATGCTAAATATGATAAAAAAGAGTCATTAACCAATGACCAACTATTTTTACTGAAAATATAACCCTTTACCTGATAGATCTTTGAATGTTTTAGGTTAGAGCAGGAGAAGACAGATCCAATCTTGATGCTTTTGTGCCAGACTAGCTGGGATGGCCTCTGGACGACCACAGGGAATGTTGCAGATGATGTAGATATTTTGAAAATAAACAACTGTCCATTCTTCAATCTGCAATGGTCACTTTCAGTTAGATTCACAACAGGTGATGGTGTAATAGGCACAAATAGGAATTGATGTGCCTCTGACCCCCTTTCTTCACCAAGAACGAGACCAAGCTGACAAGAGGACATTGGTGGAAACTGCTCAATCTCAAAGCTATGACACTCGCTCGAAGTCAACACAGCAGCTTCAGCATCTGCATCATGAACAACTGGAACGCCCTACCTGCTTAAGTCATATCTGAAAAAACTCTAGACATTCAAGGCACAACTTGACCATCACTGGACCCACCTAATGTACCCCCAAATACTCATAAGGGGTATCACCATCACCCTACTTGAAATAAAAAAGTAAAAACGAAAACAAATTGGTAAGGCAGATGCAACAATCCTGTTTGAGATTCTGTGATCCATTTGCAATTTGAATTGGGCCAACCCAACACTTCAATTTATTTCAAGTTACGGCAAAAAATAGGTGGGTAACATGTATGTCACCTACTTGTAAATATGACTCAAGCTTGAAATAACACCTCTAACGTCGACCCTCGATCCCATTTACGACCAATTCAATGAAAACATCCCAATTCAGTAGGTGGAACTATGGTCATGAGTACCCAAATATAGGAACGTTCCCATTTTTGGGAACGGAGTTCCCAAATATGGGAACGGGCGTTCCCATTTATGGGAACGGAAGGTAATTTTTCGGCCGTTCGCCCACTAAAACTCATTAGTGCATCACGTCTCAAAAAAGTGCACGCTAATTTAAGTATCTACTAAGTCTCTATAAAATTATCTTTAATCTGACCGTTGCACAAGGAAATTGACCGTCGAATGATATTTTTAATGATTTTTTGAAATGACGGAATGGTGAAAACATGGGTTATACTACATTTAACTTGCAATTTTAAGGAAAATGAAGCGTTTTTTACATTTTGAGGTCAAGTATAATAATTTTCGCCTGGTTATGAAGTTTCATACTAGCGACACCAGATGCTGACATATGCAAGCGAACACGCGGACAGTCCGGGGGTAATATTGGTGACATTTGGTGTCGGGGCGCACGACCGCATGGAACGTCAGTGATTTTACCGAACTACTGTTGTAAACTCAGTTTCAGTGGTTTAAAATTATTCAGCTGTATTTTATCATCCCAGAAAGATATATTTTTTTTGGATGCTAGCTGTTTAGAGTTGTTTTATAAGGAGCGTCATGAGCGTGGTTTTTGTCTTCCGTGTTTCTAAGCGTGATCGTTTGGGGGGAATTTCTCTTATATAGGTCGCTCTGTGTGGCTTATTTATAGTTTTTATGCTGATTTCGATCATTCCTCGTGCCCATCCTACCAGGCCTTTTGCCACTTACACTCATCAAGAAAGGAAAAAACTAGATTTTCATTGGGACTAGGTGTTTTGAGGGTGTAACATATTCAGCGTTCCCATTTTTGGATACTTCCTTGTGCTCGTCAACTATCGGTGATAAACAGACAGATGCTTGACATGTCTCCACCCTCGGCGCGGACGGTGGATATAGGTATGGAAGACCTTGTTGAACATCGCTGAGCGTTGTGAATTACGTATCCTGCAGAGGGGGGCGTGCCCGCTGCGAGATCGACGGGAATAAAAGCGCAGAAGACCGGGCGAAACATGCGACGGTCTTGCCGGAAAGGTCATCTGATGATTGTTGCGTTAACAATAATTTGCGGCGTTGGACGTGATGCTTGTTAATGAAAAGAGCCCCTGAAAGGCGTCGGTGAAATCGTTCCCAATTTTGGGTACGCCGTTCCCATAATAAGGAACGCTTGCAGCGCCAGTGTACGAGAGCGTTCCCAAATTTGGGCTCGCGGCCCGGATGATGGACTGCTTTAGAAATAGGGGAACGATTTGAAACTACGATGGGCCTTACAATATCAAACTCTTTCCCAACAATATTGAGACAAATATCAGGCGGTTCACGATCGTTTTATATTTTTTGGACGTCATTTAACGGTTCTTTTTCTTGTTTTAAATAATGCCTACATGGCGTTCCCATATTTGGGTTTATCGTTCCCAAACATGGGAACGAAAATGCGTTCCCGAAAATGGGTACGCTTGACCATAGTTCCGCCTACTGAATTGCAATGAATCTGAATAAATGCAAATAAGAAACTCGTATCTCGCGCGTACTTTAAAATGAATGGGATAACATGTGTTCAGTTACAAAATAATCGAAAGCGAGCTTTGTTTTCCCATGCATCCTTCGCGAACATTTTGTGCTTGTGAGCATTCCCATCTCGCAAGCTTCGAACACAAGAAAATGAAGCAAGTGCGCTATTTTTGAGTGCAGACAAAGCTTGCTATACCGGAGGGGTGTTCACGGGCACCGCACACTGCTGCGTGCGCTGTGTGCGGTACGTCCAGCAGGCGTGGGGGTAGGGGATGGGTAGGCGGCTCTGACGTCACGGCTGCGTGCGGTGGACGGTCCGCTGTGGCCAGTCCCGACCGGCCACAGCGGTCGCTGTGTGCGGTGACGCAAGGCTGACGTAGGGACGCAGTGGGCGGAGCTTGGAGGCTGTGTGCGGTCCGACCGCACACAGGGTCCGTGAACAGCCCTCTGTTCAAAAGCAGCAAACTGACCACGCAGGGCGTATATTCGGATGCAGTATGAGCAGAGCATGGGTCCCGAAAAATTCCTCAGAAACTAGAGAAATTCTCGGACACACACGACGGGTACCATATGAATGCGGGTGAGACTAAAGCGTATTTACAAACTGCAACCGAGCTCCGCCGTAGGGTATTTTATTTCCGCCGTAGTATATTTCAGTTGGGGTATTTTCTACCATACATCTGCCTGAGCTTGAGGTAATTACAATTTGTCGGCGACGTTAAAAATGATGCACCTTTTTTCGCAGTATAGGTTATCGCATGTGCATATTTTAGCCTTTTTGGTTGCGCTTTTCCCTTGCCCGTATAGGGGTAGGCGTTGAGCGGACCCCATCGGTTTTTCGTGAGTAACTCGCGTAAAAACCGTCCGATCGCGACGAAACTTTCAATACCCCTGATTTTATCAATTTTACTCCTACCCTGAAAATTTCATGACCCTGACCCAAATGACCTTTGACCTGTGACCTATTTCTCGAGACCATGTTTGGCCCGAATCGCGATTCGGCGTATGTCGGCTCGCATTAGCCGCGCGTTTGCAGTCTTTACGTGGTTTCAAGCGTTGAAACATGTTATATGATACTGGTCCCATGCATTAGGATGGGTGTCACATGAAGGTCAGGTCAGCTCAATGACCTTTAATGACCTCGGCTCACTTTTTCGAGTTTAGCATGTTTCTAGGCTAGTTTTTGGAGCTGATTTCGAATTTAGCAACCATTTGAACATTACAGGGGGTGTAACGAAATTATCCGGACATCTTTCTTCCCGCTGTAATTAAAAAGCAAAACATTGTGGTACTTTTTATTTTGACTGAGCATGTAGCCACCTTTCATAAACACACAGTGGCGAATGTTTTGGAGCATTTCAGCCAATGGATTCTCCAGCACACTGGCTTTGATGCGGACCAACGCCGTCTAAACCTGTGCCTGCGGTTGGGTGGTGCTTGTGGCGGGCGTCTCTTCAGTCACCTGCTGAACAAGAGCCCACAGGTTTTCGATTGAATTGGGATCGCGACTTTTTCCAAGTCATAAGCGTTAGCCCAGAATGATTGAAGGTTCTATCGGCATCACTTCCCGTTCTTTTAGGGACTTTTAAGTAGCGCACCGCCCCGCATGAAGACAGCGTGGCTTGAATCAGGCATCAGTGCGCGTTCAGAAACCGAGCCCTCCTATACCGTCTGGTTGAGCGCCTCCGACTATTCATTGGCCAGTATGTTTCTCCGGTAATACTTACGTTGATGGTGGTATTATGTGACACTATGTCCTATTGGAGGATCGCTAAGCAGCTGAACATGCTCCAGTTCTGGATATTGTCCGGATGTTTGACGGCGGCGAAGGCCAGCAAGTTCGAGCGGCTGGCCGCCCATACATGGCCGATTTGACGGTTCAAAGGATAATACAGCTCGAACGGCTACCCATCCAACCAGACCACCTCACCCTTATCATTCTTCAACCAGTGGACGCGATCGGCGTGAGGCGAAAGGTGGTGAACTGGTTGTTTTCCCCGTCAGTTTCGTTGTCTTTTTCAGTTTGAAGGGCACTAGAACCAAGTTAAAGGGCGGGTAGCGGTAAACCATGATATGGGATCTCTTATTATCTGACTTGGTAAGAATTCGAGTCAATTTGCGGATTGGTTGGTGCCGTTTCCTTGCCGCTATCTTGATGACTCTCCTCACCACTTGACAAAGGGCGGCTTTTGTGGTCGCGACCAACCGATAGAAGAGGCACGTATTCATCCAATATTCCCACTTCTAACATCAGAAAGGATTAGAAAACTGTGCAAACAGATATGGCGAAAAAATAGATGTCCGGAATCGTTACACCCTGTACTGAAGTAGTTTTAGTGCCTTCGTGACATGTTACGAAGCTGTCAGAGAAAAAATAGCGTTCTGCCCCTCCAACTTTTGCTTATTTGTAGAGCTTCGTTGCTTAGCAAACCACATGTTGTTCGCATTGAGGAGCTTTGAAATGTCTGTGTAATTCAAAATGTTAGTTCTGTAATTAAAAGAATTGATTCAGTGTTGCACATAATCTAACTTAACAACCGAGCATTGCAGGTTTGACAGCTTTTTGCCCCACCAGCACCACCTTCCCTGGAAAAGCTCCACCCTTGCCTATGGGGCAAAACATAAGGGACAAAAACACAAAACAAGACAGATAAAAAACAAAACAAAATGAACTTATTACCAAAATCAACCTGACCAGGTCTTACGGTCTGACCTGATCCTAACCGCCTTACTTCACCTAACCTAACCTACCTAACCTAACCAATTCAACCTAACCTACCACAACACCTGCAGAGGTACCTTCCTGGAAAATGACGCCCAGGGAGCTATCCAACTTATTGGAATTTTACCATGATTGCTTGTCAAAATGTGTGTCATCATGCTCTTGTTTGACAAAAAAAGTGTAATAAATGTGACATTCAAAAATGGTCTCCTGACTGTTGAGTGATCAGAATATTCAAATAATCAGGGTACAATGCTGTGCATCATAGTCCACACTAATCATGTTGTTTTTGTGTAGGCCCTATGCGCATTATTGTGTACACTGCCATGTGCACCTTAAGGAAAACAAGTGACTGGTGGTACATGAAAAAGGTTGTGCAACTGTGAAGTTCATGCCCTTGGTCTTGCTGGAGTCAAATGCCTATAGCTATAGCAGGATCATACACTGTGAATTGAAGATATTGGCACAAAGTTCATCCATAATTACTATGCTTAACACCTGATGTAAGAAGCAACATAAATGCCCAGATGATACAGCTCTCTGGTCAACATCACACAAATTTATTGACATACTTTGCAGGTACATATTTACAATCATAGCAAATACTTTCGATTTGATTCAATTACTAGGTGCTAGTAAGCTTGCATTTTTGTAGGTACAATGAACATATATTTAATCATAAAAAACTTTCTTGTGGCAATGGCATTCATCACATACCTTTTTTC